CCTATAAAGGGAGGTGGAAAGAGCACCTACCTCACAGGTTGCTCTAGGAACACCTGAGAATATGCTTGCGAAATGCTGAGTCATTGTGACACTATTTCCAAGGCCCCCTGAGGCCCAGCCTGCCACTGAGCTGAGGCGAGACCCCTCTGGGCTCAGATAGGAATATACCAGATCCCTGTGGAACCAGAGCCAGAGTTCTGGAAATGCAGGGATGTGTGCCCAGAAGGTCAGGGGACAATGAATATTCTGACTGCAGAGCTCCAGGAAGCTCCTAGGAGGAAGTGCCATTTGAAATTGGCTTCAAAGGATGAGTAGGGTCAGGCAGAGGGAAATTGTGTCCAAGTGCTGTTCTGGAATGTGGGCGGTCCAGCCACTCCTGGGCTGCATCCCCAGCCCAGCTCTAAGGAGGGTCAGCCTCCTGCGCATGTAGAATTGGAGCTTCCTTTTCTGATTCCCACACCAGGAAGAAAGGGCTGTGTGAGCTGCACACCTTTGCCCTGGGAGTTAACACTGTGCCTGGCACAGAGGCAGCCCCAGTGCTGGATGAATGAACCGGGGAGAAATAATGACTGTGTGTTCACCCTGCAGGCAGTGCAGCCATGGACTTAATGAGTCAGGAAATGACAGGTTGGATGCTCCAGACAGTACAGGAAAGGCCAGTGGAGAAAGAGCAGGAGCCTAGGAGGGCTGCCTAAAAGGCCAGGCTCAGTGCAGGCCTTAGCATGTGACATTGGGCTTGCTTGAGACAGCGCAGGTCTCAGGAGGAAATGCCTAGGCAGCTGGTGGGTGCTCTTGGGGCACTGAGCTTCCCAAAGTCACTGCCTTTGCAGACAGCGCCTGGCGAGGAGAGAGGCCACCTCCCAGGAGTAATACTGGCCTCTAAACTCCCCTGGGGGTGGCTGGAGGTAGCATCCTCCCTCACGTGTGCCTCTTACTTGGGGTTCCTAGGGACTCTGCCCTACTGCTGGCTGGCATCTTGAATGGGGCCCCTTCCCCCTCTTCACTCTGAGGAAAAGCTTTCCCTGCTTCTTGCCTGGCTCATGGAGCCTCCCAGACAGGGGAAACAGAGCCCAGTCAAAGACCAGACTCGGTATGGTGCCCTCACTGCCCCTCCACTGTCTCTTTAGCTTTCTCTGGAGCACCCTGTCCCTGAGACCATCTGCCCACCCATCTGCAAGCTGGGAGCCAGGCTCCAGTCTGCCTGCAGGTCGGACCAGGTTCCACAGCCCAGGCTGCTCATCTGGCAAGAGGGCCAGATCTGGAGAGCTCCCCCTGGACTCACATCAGAAACACCCTGTCCTTAGAGCCCCGGGACCCACCTTTGTTTCAGGCACTGCCTACTCCAAGTCAAAGTCAAATGCTGCCAGCCCTGCCTGTGACGCACATGTGCACACAGGTTATCAAATGTGTGCCCTTGTGTGCATGTGAGTGTGTTCATGACAGAGGCTGCTGCTCCTTCAGTCTGTGGAGTGCACTTCTGGGTAACAAAACAAACCTGGTGTTTGTGGAGGCTTCACTCCCCTCCCAGGGGCTATACAAGATCAGATTTCCTCTCCCAGTGGCAGCACCCTCTCTCTGGGGCACTGGTGATGAAGCCGACCCCTCTGAGAGATGGACCATGGTCTGGGGCCCACCAGGCCACCCCCAGAGGGAACTCATCCTCCCCTCCTACCTCTTGGCATGGGATGCCTTTCACAGCTAACATTCTGTGGCCCTCCCTCCTTCCCAGCCCACTGGTCCCCACAGTAAAGCCACCAGCCACCCCAGGCAGCGGAAATCGGTCTGAGGTCCTGCAAGTAGAAGTGGCCCGTGGAAGCCAGCAGTGCGGCAAGGAGCTACGGCTCCCAAGCACCCGACTGTGGAAGCCCCTCTGATGCTCCCTTCCTGGGCTGAAGTTGAGGGTGTCCCAGGCTTTACCAGGCTGCAGAGGGTTAGCAACTGGTGGGACCAAGGGTCTATTGAGCAACAGATTGTACAGGGACACACAAGCAGCCAGGCATGCTCAGAAGACACTCAGCAGGCACAGCTATGTATGCCAGGCTCTGTAGCAGGTATGGAGTGCATTGTGAGCATGTTCATGGGACAGACGCTCAGACAAGACAGAGCAGCCAGACGCACCTCCTGCCAGAAACAACTCAAACATCAGATAAAATACAGGCAACAAGGGCCCTAAAGACACTGGACATCAGGGGATGAAGGGTGGGAGCCCCTGAGAGGCAGGACAATCGTGTGAGTGCCCCACCCCACCCACCCACCAGGACAGTTTCCGGCTGCAGTGCAGGGAGGGCTCCCAGCGGGCTCAAGTGGAGGGCTAAGGCTGGGAGTCCTGGGAAGCCAGGGCGACTGGAGTCCGCAGGAGGCAGCGCCGGAGAGGAGAGAGCCCGAGGTTCAGGGCGGCAGTCGGCACACGTGCAACGGGAACACGCTCGAGGCCGAGGAGAGGCCCGCAGGGCTGTGAAAGGTACTGCCACCGGCTGGAGGGCCTTGCCTCACTGGACCAGAGACCCAGGCAGGTCTTGCCATGGTGAAGCAGAACAAAATTAGTCCTAAATGCTGCTGTGAGCCTCCTCGCAAAGCGTACAAGCGAGACCTGAAGGACCAGACTGCCTCCAAGCACTTCCTGGTGTCCAGAGCAAAGTACAAGAGTATTTCCTAAAATATTCAGCAACCACCAAAACTGACCAGGCATGCACAGAAGCAGGAAATACAGCCTATAAATGAGAAGGAAACCAATCGTTGCTGACCCAGAAATGACTCAGGTAAGGATGATTGCACCAGGACATGACAGCATCCGTATGACTGTATCCAGGTGTTCAGGAAGCCAGAGGGTAGATTTAACGTGTTAAGTAGGGAGGTTCCGGAGCAAAAATGAATGCTGCCAAGAAGGGTCAGTCATGGGAAGAGGGCAAAAAGCTTAGATATGGGCAGAGTGCGATCTCTGCAAAGTTGGCTCAGACCCAGCCCAGACCCTGCAGGAGGTGCCGAGGTGCTGTCTCCACCCCACCCTACACATTCCTTGGATGCCTGGCACAGGTAGGTCCTCAATACATATTCATTTTGTCTTGTTCAATTCTCACTTCCACTTAACAGATTGAGGCTCAGAGAGGTTCAAGGTCTTCCCCAAACCATGCAACCAGGAGGTGGTGGGCCTAGTGCCCTGGCCACACAGCCCTAAGCACTCTGTGCTGTACACCTGCCAGCCACCAGGTCTCACCAATCTGGCAGATCCAAGGTAGGTTAGGGTCACCGCAGTCCCAGGGCACAGGCTGGGATGCACATCACAGACTGTGGATGAAAAACATTAGCTGGCAAGGGGCAGATGCCAACGTTCATGCCCCAATTCCTTCCACAATTGCCGTCCAGGATGTCTGGAGGCTGCAGCCCCCCACCCCAACTTCCCAACCTTGCCAAGGCCTCAGCCTCCCCAGTTCGTGGACGGTGACAGGAAATCGCAGCAGGCAGGCTGGGAGTCCTGCCTGAGGGTACTCATTTCTGTAATTACCATCATTGCCGTAAATCACTGCTTGGGCTGGAGCACTCTGGGGTCTACGGCCTTTGCACTCAGCCCCCAGCTCTGCACATCTCAGCAAGTCCACCTGGGGGTGCAGGTGCACAGCCCAGGGATACAGCACAGGCTCCCCAACTACACCAATCAGCCCCACCCTGCTTCAGCCCAGGCACCAGGCACCTCCATCAGCACCAATCCCGTGTCTAGACTATTTGCTCAATGTCTGCCCACCAGACCAGGAACGCAGTACTGGACCCAGGAAGAAGGAGCCGGGGACTGAACGCCATGCCTGCTGGTGCACAGTCACACCTTGCTCAGCATGCTTGCCCTGAGCACCTAGGACGGCACAGACACACCTCGAAGGGCTGACACAAACCCAGACACAGACCTTTCCTTTTCCCTGGTCAGGGGTTAGGTAAGGAGTACTTTATGGGCCTCTGTTGTGTTGGCCATCATGACCACTGCCCTTATTGAGCAAGTACCGTGAGCCAGGTGTGTGCAGCTGCTGCACGAGCCTCCGCCGGTCTGACATCACTTACTGAGGGAGGACAGTCCGAGGCTCAGAGCATGACCGCTGAATCTCCCAAGCTCTCCAAGCTCCCGAATCAGCCTTAACCCAAAGCTCAAGCTCTGGGGGTACCTCCACTGAGGGGCTGGAGTAGGGGAGGGAGGGGGAGGGGTCCCACCCGGAGGGGTCCCACCCAGAGTCTCCACAGCGGCTGAAAGCCAGGCGAGGCAGGCAGCAGGCCCGCCACTGGCTCCTGCCAGGCCCCTGGCTGCATGAGCGATGGCAGGCTGAGCGATAAGAAACTCGTAATTTATGTTTTCAGCTCCTGCGGCAGGCGCCAAGGGAGGGCTGGGCCACAGCCTCCTCCTGACTCCTGCAGCCACAATCCCTTATTGCACAAATTATTAACGACCAAAGAATGAATTGCTGTAACCAGATCAGGGCTGCCAGCAGCTTTCATTTCATTTATTTGTATAAATTCTGGGGTCAGGGTCCAGCCTGAGCTCAGAACGCCAGCCTCCTGGCCACAGCCCAGGCTCCCACCTGGACAGAGCACGACTCTTACCCTCACATGGGACTCCAGGAGTTGTTGAAGACAGACTGGGTCAGGGAGAGGCACAGGGCAGCAGGCCTGAGCTGGGAGACCTGAGCTGACGTGCGCCCACTGCAGCCTCATCAGCCAGCAGGTCCCTGGGCCAGGGAACCATCCTTCAGCCACTTCTTCAGAGCCATTTCCCACCTCTTCTCAGAGCCAGGGGCTGGCCCAAGGCATGGGGGTGGGAGAAATCTACTCTGCCCCCTCCAGCCCTTTCCTTCTCCCCAGGGGCCTGCTTTTCCCGATGTCCAGGCTGGAGGTTCTCCTCGGGCTGCCCCCCGCCACCCCCGCACCCTTGCCCTGCTCCATCTGCTCCTGCCGCACCTCCCTCCCCTCCCCTCTCCAATCACCCCTTGCAGGCTGGTCTCTCCCTGCCTTCCCTTTTCCTGTCCTGCTGCTGAACTGGCTGTCACCTCCCTTGGGTCCAGGGACTCAGGCTGTGAGGTTTCCAGCAGCACCGGGAATGAGCTGCCTATGGTCCTCTCATGAGCCCACTTTTAATCTCATTGACCTCTCGTTATACTACAGCACATAAATTCAGATTTGGAGAGCTTATGTTCCATCATAAATTGGGCTGGCAGACTTCCGATCAACAAGATAAAGCTGTCTCCTGTGAGGTGGGTGTTTTATTAGTCTTGGCCTCAGTGCTGGAGGAGGGGGTGGGGGTGGGAGGTGTGCAGGGGAGTGAGGCCTCTGCTTTAAAATCCTCCTGTACGGTTCAGAGTCCTTCTTGCCATCGTGGGTAGGCCCCACGTACCTGGGCATCCCCTGGACCTGGGCTCTAGCTGCCCATAGACTTTCATTCCCATAGCCCCGGAGTGAGCAGGCACTTCTGAGCCCCCAGGCTGGACACTCAAGGGCCAAGTAAGAGACTCTGTGTGCCCCCAGGTGTATGTGTGTGCATGTACCTCCCTCCCTGGTGGATCTTCAAGAGCCTGACCAGAGCCAGAGTAGATTGTGGGGTTCAGGGGTTGGTGGGGTAGCTGGACCTGCCTGGGAACCCTGAGGGCTAAAGGGCTGGAGGAGGGGGACCCAGAGGGATGGGGTTCAGGCCCCTGGCTCCAGTGATGTGGTGGCCTGGTCCAACTCTGCTTGCGAGTGCAGACACCTCCCCTCCAGGGACCTAGAGGAAGCCACAGAGGCTCTTGGAAGCTATGGGCCACCCTGGGCTGGGCCGCAGCCACTCACCGACCCAGGACTGGGGGTGGCGTCTGCTGGCCTTGCCTGCCCCTCCCTAGAGGTCGGGTCTTTATTCACTCACACTCCGTCCACACCATTTTACCCTGTTGTTGACACTTCTGCCCCAGTTTTTAGCCCAGCCTGCCGATGGTGCATCTCAGTGAGACCACGCACACCAGCACCCACAAGGAGGCTCTGCCTGGCCCTTCCGAGCCACTGGCACCCTGTTCCTCACCCGCTCTGCGTTCAGTTCAGCAGGAGTGCCTCCGAGCACAGTGGCCTTGGCAGCGCAGCAGGAGACCTGTGGGTCCGGGGCATGTGCTTGTGTTCTAGGGACCCAGGGAGGTCTGAGAGGAGAGCGAAGCAACCCTGGAGACTTCTTCGAGAAGGGGATGCTTCAAGAGAAGTCCTGAAGATAAGAAGGTAGAAGCGGGGCTGATGTCACCAGCCAAATGGTTGGCATAGCAACTGGACCCCTGGTACTTTTAGGGATCACAAAAGCATTTTAATTTCAATTTCTGTTAAAATCAGAAGGAAAAGAGAAAAACAAATATTGAGTAATGAATCTAGCAGAGAATATAAAGATTATATTTGTCTTTATACCAAGACAGTTGTGAGACATAATCTTAAAAAGCTGTAATGGAGGAAGGGGCCTGCAAAGGCAGAAAGTGTCGCACGAGTCACGGTGGGGGTCTGGGGGGCTGCTGAACAGGGGCTCCCAGGCCGGGGTGACCACTCAGCCATGCTTGGACATCGAGGGAGGACATGGAGATGGAAGGTTGGGCCCCGGGGCAGAGGCAGGCTAAGAAGGCCAGGGAGCCTGGGTTTTTCCCCAAGGATCCCCTGGAGGTCAGGGAGTCAGACATGCCCATCAGGCCCTGGGTTAGTGGGGGCAGAGTGTGTGGGTGTCCCAGAAGGAGCCAGGCTGAGAGTGGCCAGGTTGGGTCACCACGAATGAGAGAGACCTGACAGGGAGGCACCTCGGTTCATGGGGAGGAGTCCAGGGCAGCACCAGCCACCCAGGTGGCTGAGAGCCGGGTCAGTGACAATGTGGTGGTAGGAGGGGGGCCCAGGGTCAGTAAGGTGGGTGTATATGGTTGGCTGTAGACTCCCAAGTGTCTGGACTGAAGCTAGGGGTTTAGGGCTGTGATCTGTAAAGGAACACAGAGACCTGTGGAAAGAGAAAGAGAAGTGTGCCTACAGTGGTGCACTCCCACCCACCCCTCCACACGTCCCCGCGCCCACACACCCACACGCCCACACATCCACATGCCCCCCCACACATATGCCCCCACCTCCACACGCCCACGCACCCACACCCACACCCCTCCACACACCCACATGCCCATAGACACACCCACGCCCACACACCCACCCCTCCACACACCCACACACTCACACACCCACACGCCCACACACCCAGCCCGTTTGAAGGGTAGGTGAGGCAGAAGAGAGGGGAAAGGAGGGTGACCTGAGAGAAGGGTCTCAGGGCATGTCCTCATCCTGTCTCCAGTAAGGTGCCAACTAGAAGCACCAGGAAAAGTTCCCACAAGTCGAGGCCAGAACCAGGCAGAAACAGCAAGCAGAAGGTCAGCACCAGGCACAGACTGACAAGGTTGCTGAGGGCCAGGTTCCTGGCTGGAAGAGGGGCTGACCCAGCCCAGGTCCTGGCTTTGCCTCTTCCAGTTATCATCAACCTGTCATGTCTTTGAGGCCCCAGGGGCTCAGGAATCCACATATACCTGCTGGACCTCAGACCCAGCTACTCAGCTGCTGACATGGGGCACACTCTCAGGTCGGGGAGGGGCAGGAGGTGGTCTGACTGTTCTCCTGGAAGGGGTCTGCAGCACGCCGGCACCTGTTGGCACCTGCATGTACCCACAGCATCAGAGGTCAGGCTCCTCCATCTTAAGCAGAGCAGGGGGACCCCACTTTTCAGGATGCCCACACTCTTCTCTATGCAAACCAGCTCCAACCCCAGCCCTATCCCTGCCAGCTGCCTCCCTTCTCACTTCTCAGGGACCTCCAGGCAGTCAGCCCAGGTTTCCAGTCTTCCCCAACCTGGGACTTTGTAAAATGCCCTGAGGAAAGCTCTGGGTTGTGGCCTTGGACAGATCCCTGGAATTGCTACCCTTCCTCTGCCCAGCCTCTGCACATGGGCTCTGCTCAGGGTCTCAGCCAACACTAGGCTGCATACTTCAGCTCACCTGGAGCACCATGAATAACTCCAGGGGCTGGGCATCACAGAGTCCCTGCTCTCTGGGCACAGTGTGCTGGGCCACCCCATTATGACACTGCAGACAGCAGCTCAGAAGACGCAATGGCCCCATGGAGGGCTCAGCTAGTTGCAGTAATAAAGGAATCCTCACACCCAGGCAGCACCCACAAAATATCAATGCACCCCAGGGAATGTCACTGGCTCAACCTGCCCTCAGAGGAATGGGGCCCTTGGCAATGGGAGTCCATGACTTGGTCATGGATGGTGTCAGACTGAGTATATGATCTCAGAAAGCCAGCCTGGGCCAGAGTTGTGTTGGAAAACAGTAAAGCTCACTGCCCCCCTAAGTGTGCTACTCCTGAAAATCCCTGACATGACAAATCTATGCTGACGAAGTGACTATTGCTCTTCCTGGTGACTCTGATGGTGGGACTGTGGATGAGGAGATTCAGACCCACCCCCTCCTCCCAGAGCAGGCAGGCGCAAAGCTGAAATCCTGCTGGGGCCCAGGTGCGTAAGATCCTAAAATATACACCCAACCGCACAGTGGAACCCTGTGATTCCGTTGGGGTACAAGTTTCATCAAATAAATAAATAAATACATACATACATAAATAAATACATAAATACATAAAACAGGCAGAAATCCAAAGTGACTGGGGTTATATGAGGCTCCCCAATACCCTTGGACCCACTTCCTGGCAACAGGGCACCCTTCAGAGCAGCCAGAAATGGCAGGTGGTGTGCATGAGGGCGTGTGTGTTCCACGTCATGCCCCATGTGCATGTCCCATTGTGCTGTGTCTGTGTGCACGCTGCCATTCCATGTCACACACAACGTGCACCTGGGCCACACTGGGGCAAGGAGGGCATGAGCACATGCAATGGGCTGCAGGCATACACTGGGCCTCCCGCCCACATCAGGCCCTCCAGAGCCAGCTCTAGACTAAGAGCTCATTACCCAGGCAGGAGTGGGTGTCATTGCCAGGCTCTCTGACTGTTGTGTTTTTTTTTTTGAGGGTCCACATCAGCTTCTGCTGTGCCTGAGTTTTGCCCTCGTAGGCTCCAAAGAACAAAATGCCCCATAACCCCTCTGTGTAGCAGAGAAAAGACAGTTCATGGAGGAGCATGGGACAGGTGTCAGGAGGCCTTAGCTGGTCACAGCCTGCACTTGGGGTGCAGCATCTCTGAAGCCTCTCCACAGACCTGCATCCACTTCTTCGTATAGGAGAAGGCATGAGCCCTGCCTGCTTCCAGCTGTGTGCCAGCCCTCATGGATGACCGGCAGAGATCTCAGAACAAAACACCTGTCCCTGGACTCTGATCTCCTTCTCAGTCTGGGCAACACCTGCCAAAAATCAAGGATGCCCAAGGAGCTGAACAGACACTTCTCCAATGAAGAAATTCAGATGGCCAACAAGCACATGAGAAGATGCTCCACATCTCTAATCATCAGAGAAATGCAAACTAATACCACAATGAGGTATCACCTCACACCAGTTAGGATGGCCACCATCCAAAAGACAAACAACAAAAAATGCTGGTGGCGAAGATGTGGAGAAAGGGGAACCCTCCTACACTACTGGTGGGAATGTAAAATAATTCAACCATTGTGGAAAGCAGTATGGAGGTTCCCCAAAAAACCAAAGAACAGAAATACCATTTGACCCAGGAATTCCTCTCCTAGGAATTTACCCTAAGAATGCAGGAGCCCAGTTTAAAAAAGACATATGCACCCCTATGTTTATCACAGGACTATTTACAATAGCCAAGAAATGGAAGCAACCTAAGTGTCCATCAGTAGATGAATGGATAAAGAAGATGTGGTACATAAACACAATGGAATACTACTCAGCCATAAGAAGAAAACAATCCTACCATTTGCACAACGTGGATGGAGCTAGAGGGTGTTATGCTCAGTGAAATAAGCCAGGTGGAGAAAGACAAGTATCAGATGATTTCACTCCTCTGTGGAGTATAACAACAAAGAAAAACTGAAGGAGCAAAACAGCAGCAGACTCACAGAACCCAAGAATGGACTAACAGTTACCAAAGGGAAAGGGACCTCTCCGAGGATGGGTGGGAAGGGAGGGATAAGGGGGGGAAAGGGGCATTATGATTAGCACGTATAATGTAAGTGGGGAGGACATGGGGAAGGCAGTATAACACACAGAAGACAAGTAGTGATTTGATAGCATCTTACTATGCTGATGGACAGTGACTGTAATGGGGTATGTGGTGGGGACTTGATAATAGGGGGAGTCTAGTAACCATAATGTTGTTCATGTAATTGTACATTAATGACAGCAAAAAAAAACAGAGAATTAAAAATGAATAAATAAAAAAATATCAAGGATGCCCATTCTGGTCCCAGCTGTGGGATTCTCCCAGGCTCCTAAGTGCTCTCTCTGTCTCTCTGTCTCTCTGTCTCTCCCTCTCTGATGAAGACAGTGCCTCTGGCCAAACCTCTATGAAGCTTCTGGAGACTAACCACTGTGGAGTCCTGCCCAGATAGAAGCCCAGTGGGCAGGTGCTGAGAGCTGTGCTGAGAGTGGGGCACACTGGGATGCGTCCCCACCCAGGGCAACCCTGAAACGCTGACGTGTGTATGTCAGACAACAAACAAAAGTCCTGCATGCGAGGAGCTCACATTCGGTAGGATGTCCAACATGTACACATCACATTCTGGAGCCATTCCAGACTCCCTGCACAGGCTAGAAGGCCCTCAGAGTTGGGCCTGGGGACAGTGACTCAGCTCAGGCACCCCTCCCCAGCTGGCCCCTCAGTTTCAGCTTCCCTCAGCCTCCTGGCTTTCTGCACCTAGGGTCCCTGCCTGGATGTTCCTTCTTCTCCAACTGCCACCTGGCAGCCCTGCCAGAGGGCCCACCTGAGCCCACCCCACCCCCCATCAAACTCAACTCTGGGGCCCGCTCCTCTCCCAACATCCACTCCTGCTTCCCATACAGGGGCTTGACTGTCGCACTGTGGCTCTGAGAACGGCACACCCTGATGCCCCTTCTGGGACTGCTGTGGGCTCTGATAGTGCAGGCCAAGGCAGCAAAGCATGCAGAGTGAGAGTCACAGCACAGGTGGGGATGACCCTAGACCCCCACAAGCAGGAACATGTGTCCCTGAGGCCTTCATGCCAGATCTGTGCTGAGCGTGAGCTGATGGAACAGCAGGACAGAGGGCTGGTCCCGAGCAGAGGGAAGTGCAGACTTGTGAGCACACAGGCAACCCTGGCCTCTCAGGTCAGGATCTGCTATTCCTACCCTTGCTCCTGCTGGCGCATTCCTGGGACATGGGGGTGTAATGGGCCTGCAGCAGAGGCTACTCAGCTCTGTCCATCTCCCTCACTGGCATTTGAAAAATGTGTGATCATTAGGCTGCAGAGGCTTGTGCTATGAGTGATGAGGACAGCACGGGGCCTTAGCACCCACATCTGTCCAGCAGGGCAGCAGCCACATCCAAGAGTCCCCCTGTCCCTCCTTCCTGCTCCAGGCCAGGTCCCGGCCACTGGCCAGAAATAACTACAGGGAGAGGGCGGAGTAGAACCAGCGCTCACGCCCATTCACTGAGACAGAGTCTTTTGCTCCCAAGGGCCCTAGAGGGCCCTGTCCCTTCCCTTTGCTTGGCCTCATCTTGTGGGGGAGCCCCCCAATCCCTGCACTCTGAGCCCATTTATGGAGAAAGCAATAGGGTACGCCAGGCCCGCTTCACTTTGCTGACCCAGAACACCTTTAGCCACATTTCAGCCTGACTGCTCTGCTCCAGGGCAAATGGACCCCACAGATTTTGAGTCTCCACCCCACTCTCATTTTCAGATGGGGCAACCAACGTCTGGAGAAAGGCAGAGATGACTGCATCGTATAGTGACATGCCAGGATCACCTGAGTTCAATGCCATTGCAGGGATTGCCCTCTACCACCTGCTTTGGTCTGCTATAGCACCTGGAAAACTGCCCTAAGGTGGGGACTGCTCTCTGCCCCCAGTGATGCCAGTGAGCCGGTGTCTTCACTCCTCCTGGGGAGCAGCCAGGTGTGCAGAGCCAGTGGTGGCCAAGACTCCCACCCATGTTGCCAGACAATAGCTTCCTCTGTAATGGCATCAGATTATACCAAGAGTGCCCTGTGGCCTGTCCATCACATGTATGTCACAGTGCTGGTGTCTGGGTCAGTGCATGTGTCTGAGAAGGTGTGTGTGTGTGTGTCAGCATATGTATAACATGGCAGGTGAGTCCCACACCACGAGTAACCAATGGTTTGGCAGCATGTGCCCCAAGTCTGGACACTCATGCTGGAGGTAGGTGTGAGGTCGACTCCAGGCCCTATTTCTTTGCTCCTGTAACTAGCGTAAATTAAAATCAGTGGACAGACCTCAGAAACACCTTCTCTTCTCTGAGAGAGATGGCAAGGCCTGCAGCCAGCTCACAGCAGGCCAAAGGCAAGGCATGTCCCAGCAAGGCAGCCCTCCAGTGACTACCTGGAGCCAGGAGTAGATACATTTCTGGAAGCTCTAGCCAGTCTTGCAGGGGTGTTTGAGGCAGTGCCAGCCAACTACCCACTAACATTTGACCTCCCAGGTTAACCTTTCCTAGTGGAACAGTGCTATAAACCAGTCCCTCACACCACACATGTTGTCTTGAATATGGCAGCTGTATACCTCTGGTCCAGCTGTAGCTCATGCTGCAGGCCTGTGTGTCTATGTGTGTTTTGTGTGAAGGTCTTGGTGTCTTTGATCCTGGCTGTTGTGTGAGTTAGCACACATACTGTCTGTGCATGTTTGTGGTGAAGATTCTGCAGCCATGCACCTGCCGGTCTGGTGCAAGCAGCTTTGGGAGCTGCTGGGCCAACACCTGGGAGTGTGTGGGTGCAGCTGCCTCCGTGGGCTTTTGAGCATGCATGCATCTGTTGGTGGCTGTGGGGGCTTGTGTGGGCACGTCTGTGTGTGCTCTCTCCCTTCATGCCTTCCTGTGTCTGGGTGAGTCTGAGCGCAGGAAGACCAAGGCTGAGGGCGCAGGCCACCTGCGACTTGTGGCCTCGGGGATACACTCTTTCCTCTGCATCTCTCTCTTCGTCCAACCTCACCTGTGGATCTGTCTTCCTGGGATTTTACCACATTTAGTGCTCAAAAAATGATTGATTGATGAGGGAATGTTGGAAAGGGGGCCTCTAAGGCACCGTCTGGACAGGGGGCAGCAGGCACTCCAGGATGGGAGGGGGATTCTGGCAGGAGCGCCAGTTGTGGACTGGGTCCAGCAGCGCCAGAGGAGGCGGTCAAGGCTGGTGAGCGTGGGTTGGGGGCATCAGGGTCTGCACGCCGCCCCGCGCTCCCCGGGGACGTCTTGGGTCACCGTCTGCAGCGTCGGGCCGCACCGCCCGCGGGTTATTTATGACCCCCTTTCCCTCCCTGGCGGCAGCGGCGGCTCCGGCCTCGGCCCAGCGGCAGAGGGCCCCTCGCGGGGGGACCGCGAGCAGCGACTGAGCCGCTGAGCCCAGCAGGCGGCGGGGGCGGGGCCTCCGCAGGCCGCAGGAGGGACTGGAACCGAGGACCACACCTGTGTTTCCCGGTTTCCCGCGGCGCCGCCAGGCCTCAACACCAGTCAGGGTTGATGCTAGCGCCAAAATTCTGTCCCTCTGGCATCTGGCTCCAGTATGAGCAGTGCAGAGGAACGTGTGGGCACAGGTGCCAGACTAGGACACAGGTGGACAGGTTGGAGGAAGAGAACCGATCCTGTGGGAGGGGTATTGTGTCCAGGGGCGAGGATGCCTGGTCCCCATGGGAAAGTGGATCTAACCCCGTGGACAGAGGGCACTATTACCTATGAAGAGGGGAAAACAGGTGGGGTGAGGGCGGGGTGAACTGCCCTGATCAGTCAAGGTCCTGACCAGCCCCTAAAGGGGGTCAGGGAGTGGTCCTTCGACGAAAGGGGGTCCTGCAGGAAGCTTTGGACCCAGTCATAGTCTTTTCAGGAAGGGACCCTGGTCCTCCCGAGAGGGACGGGGCCAGGCAGCGGCCTGGAGGTTGGGCTGAATGAACTAGGTCAGCCCCCATGCATCCCCAGCCGGACTCCCCTCCACCCAACGACAGCCAGAGTGGGGGGCCCCTGGCCCCTCCTTCTCCGTTGTGGGCCGGGGTGGGATGGAAGAGGCCAGGGCTGAGTGATGAGTGGTCCTGCAGAAGGTAAGGGAGTACCCCTGCCCCAGCTGCCATCAGGGGAGAGGCTGGACCAGACAGCCAGGTGGCAGCTTCTCAGCTCCAGAGAGGTGCTTCATCAGCCTTGCCTCACCACACCACTCTCGGCAGGTCCAGGGTTACAAGGCCTGGGGCTCAGCAGGTAGGTGCAGGCAAACAGAGAAGAGCAGGGTGGAGGGGACTGTCTTTTGGCAGCCAGGTCAGGGCTGTGGTCAAGCAGTGGGCACATGGGCCCATCTCAGTCAGCCTCCAGCTGAGCCCTCGCTGCCACCCCACACCTTGCCATGACCACACTTGAGATGAGGGCTCCTCCGTGGGCCTTGACTCTCAGAGACTGGCAGCCTCCTGCCTCTGTTAGACATGGAGGCATCACACCTGAGAGCAGGACACAGGCCACAGAGGTGGGTGTAGGGGCAGCTCCCTCGCTATCACACCTAGAGTGAGGCGTGAGCAGGTGTCCTGGCTGGGGTGATGGGCCAAGGATGGCAAAGTAAGGAGATATGATTCACATACCACCTGGTCCCATAAACCCAGCAGACAGGAATGATGAACAGAGGGGGATGCAGAGGACTAGGTGCACAGGTTCCCAGACACATTTCTGGTCTGGGCCCAGACCTGGCTCCCCAGGTCAGTCTTGGGGCTGGCTGGTGCCTCAGCCAAGGACGCGGTGGGCAGCGTGCATCAGTGAGGGGAAACAGAGTGGTAGCCCATGGTCAGCCTTGAGTCCAGCTGTTGCTGGCATCTGGGGAAGGTTGGAGGAGCGTGTTGTCCCTCACTGTCAGCCCCTCCCTGGCAGAAGTTGCTGGTGCTAGCTCTTCCAGAGCCTGGTCTGGAAGATGCCCGCATAAGTGCCCCACCAGGTACATTTCAGAGGGGTGGGGTCCAGGTGCTAGGTTGGGATCTAAGGCTGCTTTCTGGCTTGTGAAAAGTGATGCACCAGAGAAAGATGAGCCTGCGTCCCCAGCCATTAACAAAGCCACTGGATTTCTCAGTTTCTCTTCCTAATTCTCGTGCTGCAAGGTTGGCATGCAGACATGCAAGGAGGTGCGGTTTGACCCTCATTCCAGGCCTGGACTGAGGCTGACCTACTCCCCCAAGGCACCCAGTGGATGTGGATATAGAAGGTCTCTCTCCACCAGACTTACTTCTAAGTAGAGGACAGAAATGTGCCCAAGTACACAGTCCCACGTTCCACTGCCCCTCCTTCTCCCAGCATCCCCCTTCCCTCACCTAGACTGGGTCCAGCCCAACTTGCCCCACAGCATGGCTCAAAAACTATTTGTCCTAGAGTCAGCCTGGATTTGAAACATCTGTGTGACATTAGGAGGGTTACTTGACCTCTCTCTGTGTCTCACTTTCCTCATTTATAAAAATAAGTGGCATGATCAAGTAAACTAAGGCGTGTAAAAGTGAGGTGGCAATAACTGACAGAATTATCTTTCACAGAACACAAATCCTCCCCAAAACATTTGCTGAGGCCACACACAACAAACCCACAGCCTCAAAACCACAGTGGATGCAGAGATCACCCATGCCCTCCCCACACTAATGCCCACCACCCACCGGCGCTGTGCAAACGCTCTTACTCAGAGTCACCGGCTCACACTCACAGCCAAGTACACGGGACAATTCCGACCCAGGATCCCACCGCGCAAGGAGCCGCTCCGCGTCCCCACGTTAGTCTCAGACTCCGACTGCGGCCAAATAGCGACTCCCTCAACAATGGTGCGGGGTCTGTCTTGCATCCGCCGCCCTCCGAATCCCAGGCTTCCCCTTCTCTTATCTCGCCCATTCGGGAAAACGACCGGGGCTGCACATCTTGTCCCGCCGCACCCGCGTTGCCTGTCGGCCGTCAGGCACCCCCTGCTGGAACCCGCGCCCGCCGCCCGCCGCGCCGGGGCCGTTTAAATGGNATTTTAAAAACAAGCGGCGGGAGTCTCTCAAGTCGCCGCCGGGCGGGTGCGCGCCAGGGTACGCGGGTGCGCGGCCGGGACCGCGGGGCGGGGCTGGGGCCTCGGACCCCATGGCGGGGCGGGGCGCGGGGCCGGAGACTTGACGACTCCTCACCGCCCTGCTGGGCCCGACAGGAGGACCGGGAGCGGGGCGTGGGGCCGCCCCAGGGGGTGCGGGCGCAGGTGCCCCGGGGCCCCGCGGAGCCCTAGAGTCCTGGAGCTGCGGAGCTCTGCAGGCCGGTCGGCGATCGAGAGTAGCCCGGCAGCACCATATCTCGGGCAGCCGAGGCCCCGCCAAGCCGGCCGGGCAGTGGTCCAAAGTGTCCCGGCGGGCGGCGTGGCAGCGGCGGCCGCGGGCGACGGGGTGCAGCAGCGGGTAGGCGGGCGAGAGTCCAGGCGCCTCCCGGGCCCCAGCCCTCGAGACCCAACTCCAGCCGGGGCGGGAACAAGTTGCTCCGGCGGCGGACAGCCAGGCTGCAGGACCCCCGGCCCGCCATGCCAGCGGTCAAGAAGGAACTCCCGGGCCGCGAAGACCTGGCCCTGGCTCTGGCCACCTTCCACCCGACCCTGGCAGCGCTGCCACTGCCGCCGCTGCCCGGATACCTGGCGCCACTGCCCGCTGCGGCCGCCCTGCCCCCGGCTGCCTCTCTGCCCGCCGCCACCACCGACTACGAGGCACTGTTGGCTCCACCGCTCCGCGCCCCGGGAGCCTACCTGAGCCTGCACGAGGCCGCCCCGCACCTCCACCTGCCCGGGGACCCTCTGGCCCTTGAGCGCTTCTCGGCCACTGCGGCCGCTGCACCGGATTTCCAGCCGCTGCTGGACAACGGCGAGCCCTGCATCGAGGTGGAGTGCGGCGCCAACCGCGCGCTGCTCTACGTGCGCAAACTCTGCCAGGGCAGCAAAGGTCCGTCCATCCGCCACCGGGGCGAGTGGCTTACACCCAACGAGTTCCAGTTCGTCAGCGGCCGCGAGACGGCCAAGGACTGGAAGCGCAGCATCCGCCACAAAGGTGCGGCCGCGGCGGGGGGGCGCGGGCCGCTACTGTCCCTCCCCTCCGCTCCCCGAGGACCCGTGAATCCGGACCCCCTCATTCTGCCACTTGGGAGAATGCACCTCCGCCCCGAGTCCCATCGCAGCACGGTCGCCTTGGTGGACCCCGGCAGAGCGCTCTCGGCCTCCCCCCTCCCCCCAGCTCGGATTGCGGTGCCCCGGGCTCCCGGCTGCGCACGAGCCGGCCGCCCCTTCCGCTCGGAAGGTCTTTGCGGGATTCCTGGGCCTTGAGGCTCAGGGCAAGTTTACGGGAACTCGGGAGGACAGGCGGGAGGCGCGCGGAGCGGGACAGTCCCTTCCCGAGTCGGGGAGCCACCAGGTTCTAGAGGGACTGGAGGGGCGCACATGCGGCCGCGGTACGGGTGTGCGCTGGTGGAGGGAAGGGAAAGGCGTAGGGGTGGCGCAGGCAGGTAGGGGCTGCGGGGGCGCGCTCCGGGCAGTGGGCGCGCGCGGAGCGGGAGCGCGGCTGGAAACAGCCTGCTTGGGCTTTTGCAGGAGTCTGGCGGCAAGCGGGGGAGGCGCGAAGCGTCGGGAGCCTGGGTAAGGGGTAGTTAAAAAGTTAGGGATCCATCCGCCCTCGACTTTCGGGTTCACGCTCCGCGGTGGCCTCCCTCCTCCCGCTGCGGGATCAGGCGAATCCCCAGGTCCTGCCCGCCCCGCTCACCTGCGCCCAGGGTCGACCTTCCTCGGCCCTGCTCCAGGGTCCCGCGGACCGGCTTGGGGAGGGTGGAGCGCGGGAGGAGGGGCGCAGGGGGCGGGGAGGAGGCCGCCCTTCGTCGGGGAAGGACTCCCTCCCGATCTTGGGTTTCTGGGCTCTGCAGATCCCCGCGGCGTCCGCGAGGGCGGGGTGGGCAGCTGAGCCGGGATCGGAAGTTGGGTGGAGGTGGGTGCTCACACACGTGCTGGTAGGGGTCCGGCCTTGCAGGGTTCCGACTGCACCCCGGAAGCGTGCCTACCTGTGCCCGACCTGCTCCCTCACCGATCCTGCCTTGGCTCTCCTCGCAGGGAAAAGTCTGAAGACGCTTATGTCCAAGGGGATTCTGCAGGTGCACCCTCCGATCTGCGACTGTCCGGGCTGCCGAATATCCTCCCCGGTGGTGAGATGTGGGAGAAAGTCTGGGGCTTCGGGAGCTTCTTTCCCTGCACAGCCTATTTCCTGGGATCCAGAATCCCAAGTGCACCCCTGCCAGTGCGCAGGAGGGAGCCTCTGGAGGGCGAGTGGAGGGGACACTGCTTTGGAGGGGGACCCTGGGGCACCTGCCCCCCTCTCCCTTTTGGATGCATGGCCTGTCCTGCCTCTCCTGGGGCCTCTCCTTAGTCCCGGAGGCAGCCCAGGGTGTGAGGGTCTCCTTGGACAGTGTCATCTGACTGGAGCCAGGGACTCCACCCTGTCACGGGTCTGAGGGATCACCGTGTCATCTGGCCCAGCTTGGGAGAGGATCTGTCCTAGGGTTGACACTTCTTCTGGGATGTGGCGGTGTTAGCTGGCAGGGATGTTCATTCTGCGGTGGCCACAGGCTTGGATGTGACTGACGTGCGTGTCTGGTGTTCGGAGTCCCGCTGTGCAAGGCCCTGAATGCCCAAGAATGTCTGAGGATACAACCCAGGCAGGGGCAGGGTCTGTGCAGTGGCGCTTTGGCATCAAGAGAACTGGAGTTGAAGGCTGCTGTGGGGTCCCCTGGCTGGGCTAGGGGAGCAGAGGAGATTGGGGTGCTAGGCCTTCCCTGAAGCGCTGCCTTCCCCACCACACGCTGTCCAGGCAGCAGTGGTTGGAGGATTGATCTGAAAAGGAAATTGCATCGTGAGAGGGACCAATATGGATCCCTGGAGGAGAGCCAGTTAAGGCCCCGGCTCCTGGTAGTGGTTGGGATTGGGCTGCTATTACTGGAAACATCAGCAGCCCCCGCCCACAGAGAGGGGCAAGGGGCTGTGAGGACACAGAAAGCCCACTTTAGGCTTGTTTACTTCGGACTGGCAGTAGGGTGGGGAAGGGTATGTCCTGGATTCTTCATGGGTCCTTCGGGGTGGGTAACCTGGGCAATCTAGGAAGCCACAGACACACCTGTGAAGACAGACACTAGGTCAGACACTCAAGTTGGACAGGGGAAGAGGATTAGCCACACCTGACCAGTATGCCCACCCCACACAAGGTCTGAGGCAAGCTCATAGGAGGCATAGGCATGCCTGTGCACAAGAGCCCCCAAGAGAGTGGAGTGTGCACAGACAGCCACCATACCTACCTGGGGCAAGAGGCCAAGGCTCCTCTCCAGTTCTGTGCCCTCTCAAGAAGCTGATGCCATAGAGGGATCCTCTGGGCACCCTCCAGGCTGGCCTGGGGTTTCCGATCGTGTGGAAGGAGCCCCGCCTCTCCCAACCCACCCCCTTCTGAAGGTCTCCCACAGGACGGGGAGGGGAGCAGATGGTCTGAACCCAGCATCAGTGCCCCCCAAGGACATTGCTTGGGTGTGAGCTGGCCTCCACACATTCACTCTGGCTGTCTAAGGAGCCAGTGCTTGGCTGGGGACAGGCTCAGGGCCCCGCTTTCAAGTCTGTGTGCTGCTGAGCAGGGTGGTGGCTGAGGTCTCAGGTGTATCCTTGGCCAAGGTCAGGGGCTGCCTATCCTGCTCCCACTTCTTCAGCCCTCCTGCCATGGGAGCACCCCCGGAGCACCCAGGCCAGCATAGCCGGTCCGACCTCACCCTAAGTGGCAATCCTACTGCCCTCATTTCCCTCTCCTCTTCCTGACCCCACAGGTGAGAAGCAGAGGGAAATGGATTTCCTTTTCTTCTTAAGAGAATAGTTTACTTAAAACAGAAAGGCAGGAGAGAAGGTCCTGTGGTCAGCTGCAGCAGGCTAGAAAAGGGCAGAGCTGAGTGACTTCACAGCAGGGCACACTCCAGGTGGGCCAGAGGCTGTTGAAAACAGTCCTCCTGGAACCCACTAGCTGGCACGAAAAGGCATGGGGACCAGACAGGCTGTCACACCTGCAGCCTCACCCACACTCTGCTGCCACTGGTATAGCACAGGGTCAAGTCCAGGGTCTTAGAAGGGGCCACAGAGCGGGTCCTATCCTCAGATTCCACTACCCCACCCCACCTTGCCCCAGTGCTGTCCAGTCCATGTCACGGAGTGTGTGTTGCAGAGAGAGAAATGGAAAGTGTCATAGGCGGACTCATGAAGGCAGGTATTGGGCGGACTGTGGCTTCCAGACCCCATGGTGGGGGGCTGTGTATCTGGAGGTGACTGTGATCTGGTCACCCTGGGAGACAGGACTGGGGTGGCTACCGTGCTGCCCTATAGGTCCAGGATGACATGGATCTGGGAAGGCACAAAAACCTCCTAACATCTTCCTTCTGAAGCTCATAGGATGCGTCATCCTGGCAATGGGAGGGAGGGGCCCACGGAGGCCCCAGGACTGAAAATAAGAGAGAATTATATCATCGCAAGGCCCCTGACACTCTCCCGGAGCCAGTAACCTGTTATTAAATAAGAAAAAGCTTCCTGCCCACCAGAAAATAACCAGTGACTTTTCTTCTTGACACTGGAGTGGCCAGACCCAAAGACTCCAGGGGCCATGGCGTGTAGAGGCCTCCTCTGGGTGCACACGTGCTGTGTGCCCTCTAGTGTGTGCACACGCCCCACATAGGAGACCTGGGTAGTGCACCCTGCACATCTGCACCGAACACGCCTTCCATCTCTGCTGTCCCAGCTCACAGCATATGCGGCTCCACGCCTGTTAGCCCCGCCTCACCCCATGTGCTCCACATATTCACATCGTGGGCATGGAAGAATGGGGAGAGAAGTGGACCTCAGGGAAAGATTCTGAATCTCTCAGTTCCTGACTGGGAGGGTGGGCCCACTAGGTCCCTTGAAACAAAAGGTCTGGGCTGGTCAGGGTTCCTCCCAAGGTGACATGGGAACCCAGGCTGTCAATTTGCAAGGAGTCAGCAGGCCCAGGCCCCAGGCCCCAATCTGCAAACCTCCCCTGAACTGGGCTCTGCTTGCACTAATGGTGGACAAGGGACTTGGTCTCAGGTGGGAGTTCACACAGATTCTGCGTGGGAGCACCAGGCAGACACACACACACAGAGGTAACTGCAGCTGAACAAGACCCACGGGCACGCTGTGTAGTGCAGGTGCATGTGGCCCCTCGGGGCTCCCTGGAGCTGGGAAAGTAAGGGTCTGCCTCCAGGTGGGCACCTCCACACTCAGGCGGCTGATCGCCTGTGGAGGGGAACCGGGCTGGAGTGTGGAGTCTGGACAGGGTGGTGCTCCGAGCAGCCTGGCCAGGGCCGTACCTCAGCCCCGTGCAGAGTAGGGTGGGGCAAGGAAGGCAGTCTGTGGAGGGGCCGCTGACAGAGGCCCTGCCCCTCTGCTAGTCTCGGCCTGTGGCCAGCTGTGGCTCCTGCCAGCCCTGGGGCCTGTCCTGCAGGCTGGAGGGCCCTTGGTGGGAAGTGCTGGTGACCTTGCCCATCTGGTCATCTGCACTCTTCCAAGGGCTCCTGCCCGGGGGTGGGGCCTGGGGTGCAAGATGCCTGGAGGCCGAGGGACCTGGTTCAGCCTGACCTTCCTCTCCCCTCACCCTGACCAGAACCGAGGGCGGCTGGCAGACAAGAGGACAGCTGCCCTGCCCCCTACGCGGGTCCTGAAGAAGGAGCTGACCCCCAGCTTGTCTGCCAGTGATGGCGACAGCGATGGAAGTGGCCCAGGCTGTGGGTGGAGGCCAGGCTTGAAGCAGGAGGATGAGCCACGCGTCCATATCATGAAGAGAAGGTACTTCTACCAAGGACCAGGACGGTGCAGGCACACAGGCTCTGGCAGCGGGGGGACATCAAGACCAGGGTCTCCCAGCAGCTGGAAACCAGGCCAGAGTGTTGTGGGGACCTTTGCCTGCAGGTGGGGCCCAAGCTTATCTTGTCAGATTTTGGGATGTTGGCAGCTGCTGCAGCTGAAACAAAAACTGGACCCTGCAGGACAGCCCAACTCCTCCATGCCACGGGCCATAGTGAGAACTCACCTTGCCCCAACTCAGGGACCTGGGGCCAGGACTCAGTTGACAATGTTGGAGAGTGGGCACCCCAGTGGCAAGCCCTGCCATGACCAGAGTGGCCTGGGGGGGATCCATATGGTTTTGTGTGGGGAGATGCTGAGGACAGACAGCTGCTATGTGAGGGGAAGGGGGATGGTCTGGGAGACCTGGAAGGGTGGACCTGACCCCATGGCCACCAGGTAGGGCAAGGGGAGCCGAGTGGACCCGTGAGGCACAGTCCTGGACACTCATCCCATTCTGTGGCAGGTGGCAGCTCTCCTGGCTCCTGCCGTCCCTTCCAGGCTTGGGGCCACCCTTCCTGACCTCCTACCCTCTCCCCTCCTGGCAGAGGCACCTCCTTCTGTCCACCTAACTCTGTCCATCTGTCCCTCTAGCACGTGTTATGCATTCCCCCAGAATTTCTAGGCCCTTTCTCTTCCACTTAGTCTTTTGACATGTCCAATTTCTCCCACCCTAAAATAGCCTTCCTGGACTCCCAAGATGCCCACCTCTCAGTCCCTGCACCCACACAGGCTTCCTGCTGCACTCCTCCAGCCCATGGGGCTTTCTGCAGACACCGTTGTGGATCTGTGGGGGAGGGTGTGGGCACAGGGCATAGCTGTTTCCTCTCTTGGCCTCACCCTAGCGTCGCTCCTGCCTCCACATTCAGAGGCAGGTTGATACCAGCTGGAACCAGGAGCCTGCAGCCACCTGGGCAGGCAGCTGACCATTGCTGCTGCTGGCGGCCATGGGGCTTGCTCCCTGACCTGGTTCCTCCCCAGCCAGAGCTGCTCTAATGGCTGGGAATTCGGATTCAGCCACAAAAGTGACACACAGACGCATTGAAGCTGCAGGCCCCGCCCCCAGCACTGGGGCTCCTCTGGGTCCGCTGCCACGAGAAGCAAAGGTACAGTGGCCTAGGCCTGGTAAAGCCAGGAGCTGGCTCCCATCCCATGGGCCTGTTCTGGTGGCATCCAGCTGAGCTGGTACCAGATGGCTCTGGACACAGAGCTGAGCCAGCCCAAGTCCCTGGGGGCTGGCACTCCGGTGCAGATGAGGGCTGCCACGCATACGCCCTGCTGTCCAGGTGCTGGGTCCTGGAGGCCACACTGACTGTCTGCCTCTCTCCTTGCAGAGTCCACGCCCACTGGGACGTGAACATCTCCTTCCGAGAGACGTCCTGCAGGTAGGGTCCAAGCCTGGACCAGGCTTCTCCCCGCGTGCTGTGTGCAGGCAGGGTGAAGCCTCACTGCTCCACTTCCCCCACAAGTTTACTTCCAGATATTTCCAGACTCCCTCCCATCCTTCCCTCCTTAGCGTATGTAGTCTGTCTGACTATTGACTTGTGCCCAGGGCTTGGCAGGAGTGCCGTTGTGGGGTCTAGAGCCAGGATGCATTCCCCCTCTCACACAGGATTGGCTATTTGAGCCAACTTGGCTATTGGCCCAAAAGTGAGGTCATAACCTTCCCCTTCCAGAGACTCAGAAGGAGACAAGAATGGTAATGTGTGAGTGGGGTCTTGAAGGATAGGTAGGAGTTCACTAGGGACAGGAGCTGTCTTCAAAGATGTGGAGGAAGGGGGAAGGGGAATGGGGAGGGGGAGTTAGCAGGTCCGGTTCAATCGGATGCTAAAGGGCCTGTCCTCCAGGTAGCCAGAGCCACTGAAAATCGTCGAGCATGAGTGTGGCTAGGTACACGATCTGACAGGGCCCTTCCGGAGGCCTCTCCCAGCAGGTTGGGGGTTTGCTCCAGTCCAAGGTGATCCAGGCCCTGGAAGCAGAATGGAAGGCAAGGGGGCTGCGAATACAAGATGTAGTAAGGAGATAAAAATGAGGGGACCCGTCAAAGATGGGGCATTGAGGAATCCAAGTTTCTGGCTCCCAAGGGGCAGGGTGTGTTTAGCCCATGGGTGGAGCCCAGGCTGTGGTTTCTGGTCAGTGGGGCAAGTCAGAGGGGGACTAGCAGGGAGGCACAGGGAGCGTCCAGCTGAGCAGGGAGTGGGCATCCTGCTTGGGCCTGGCTTCCTCGGCCAGAGCCGAGGGGCTGGCCCACCCAGGTGGGAGCTTGTCCTCCCCAGTCCCGGCCTGGCTCTGTGCCAGCTATGTTATTATTTATGTATCTGAGAACAGCTGGGTGCTGGGGCCAAATTACAATGAAAACAGCTTTAGACTTACTTCCACCTCATTTTGAAGTTGCCTGCTCAACTGATCATTTTTATGAACTGTCATGAACATTGATGACATTTTATGAGCCTTTTGCTCGGGAAGCTGCAGGATGAATTGTCAGCGAAGCCTGTAGGGAGCCCAAGGACTGCTCCTCCACTCCTGGACTGGCTCCTCTGCTGGCAGCCCCTCCTCACCCATCCCCAGCCTTGAGAAGTGGGAGAGGGTCCCAGGGGTCCAGTGCAGGGTGCCCTGGTAAGGTGCCAGATCCGAACTCATGTCCCATACAGCCCTAGAAGTGGCTGGGATGGTTTTCTGAATATGGCCAGGGGGAAGACTACTGCTGGGGGGACATGGCCAGGAGGACTCACAGCCTGGCTGCCCCCTGCCTGCTGATGCATCCCGCGTCTGGCTAGGGAGGGCTGCAGCAGGCACGGGGCCCAGCTGCCTCACATTGCCCCACCCGGGTCTGTCTTTGTCTCCTCCTGGCTCCTTGTGGCCCTGTCCATATGCTCCTGTCCCTCTGTCTGTCTGACTGCAATGGTCCACCTGCCTGCTTGGCGCTCGTGAGTCAGCCCCCAGGCTCCCTGGGCAGCAGGCAGGAGGTGTGCTCCCTGCCCTCCTAAGCCCTGAGCTGGCCAAGAAATGGGCAATGACTGGACAGGATGACGGTGGCTGAGGGAGCCTGGAGGGGCCTGGGAGCCCCTCCAGGGGAGCTGGGGCTGACGGGCAGGCCCAGCATTTCAGGCCCTCCTCCATGCACCCCTTCTGTCTTCCAGGCTCTCCCCACTCACTTCCTGACCCACAGCCTCACCCACAGAGACCCTCATGGTCTTCATCCCCATGGAGAGCGGGACACAGAGGGGTTTCTATGGCTGTGGGGCCTACGTGGGGATGCCAAGCTCAGCGTTTGTGCATTTTCAGTCTGGTGTGTACCAGGTCTCTTTGTGGTTCTTTACATAAAATCCAGCATCACTTCTTCAGGGAGTGACCAAGTGACCAGAATAGATTTTCCAGGGCTGGGCCAGCAGTCTTGGGGCCTACGGAGTGAACTTCCCAAGGCGGAGAGCAGGGGGCAGGTGGTGTCCTCATTCCCACTGGTATCACCTCCATGGGGCCACAGCACCCCCTGAGTCCCCGGATGACCAGCCCATAAGTGAAGGTGCTGACACAGTGGTGATGGGAAGAGATCCCAGCCCTGTGTGGGCACTGGGCCAAGAGTCCACAGGGAACAATTTGATGGGGCCTGTCATCGCCCACTCAGTCCCGGGGGAACTGGTGCACTTCCTGTAGGGGACCTCTCAGGAGAACTTGGCAGTAGCATGGCCTGCCTCTGTGCTCCCCCCACTGGGTGCTGAGGACAGCAATTCTCTCTTCGACACCCCCCCAGCTGATGAGGATGATACAGGGGACTGAGAGCTGCAGCCAAGTAATCTCATAAAGTACTTACTCCCACCCCGCCTGCCCTCCTGTTTGCAAGGGGGGTGGGAGGTGGGGAGAGGACCAGCATCTGGGTCTCCCAGAAAGCTCTAGAACCCAGTCCTGGAGTCTTTGGTGCTGAAACTGATCTGCTTAGGGGCCAGCCCCGGATTAGTCTGCTCTAGCTGCCCAGCCAGGGGGGCTGGGGGCTATTTAATGAGGTTTAGGGTTGGTGCCCAGGTCACTCCGTGGAGGCCCCCCTTGCAGCAGTCCAGCCAGGAGGCCGCTCCATTACAGGTGGGCCAGGGAGTGAGGGTGCTGGGGGGTGGGGCACCCAGGGTGGGGCACCCAGGTTCCTCCCTCCTCCTCCTCTGTCCTATCCTGACTTCCTGTCTCTAGGCTGCATCTGTGAGGTGGCAGGTGACCCTTCTCTGTGCTGACTAAGCGAGATGTTCTCAGAACCCCAGGAGTAAATGGAGCAGGAGACCATTTACACGCAGTTGCACTGGAACTTTCTCCTCTCTTCGTGGTTCTGCGATACAGGATTGAGCTGAATTAGCGGAAAGAGAAATGGAGGGAACAAAAGAGTTAATAGGTCGTTTATTCCAAGCCAACACGTGCCTGGCGGCGGTTCTTAGCTGGGAGCCTGGGGGAGAGCAGCGTCAAGGGCCCACTCGAAGGGCCGGATGTCCATGGCGTGTGTCTGTGTGTATCTGCAGGAGCTGCTTGGGCACACGCTTGCAGGCCCTTGTGTGAGTGTGCATGTGCCCAGGTATGTGCACCCCTGTGTGTGCATACATCTCATTGACTGTGGGGTCTTGGTCAGGACCTTGGTTTCCTTATTGAAGAACTTCGGGTTTCGTGAGTAGTTGCAAGTTTTAGGTGAAAAAGCACATGCAGTGTTCTTGGTGAAGCAGCTGGCACAAGAGTTAGTGCTGGGTGACAGCTGTGTCCTCTGAACGCCTGCCCTCCAGAGGCAGGACCCCTGCCCTGGGCATGGCCCCGCCACCCCAAGCCTGGTGGGTACCTGGCTGCCCTCCAAGGCAGGGGACAGGGGAACAGAGACTCACTGGGAGCAGCAGTGGCCTGACTGCAAGGACGCTTGGCAGGTCCTAGTGGTCCTAGTGGGGCTTAGATGGGTCAGAGTGTGTACTTCACACCCACTAGGAGGTGCTTCACTTGAGACCTGCTATGGGGATGCTCACTTGTGTGATGTCACGGGCCACAAGCACAAGTGCGCTTGAGGCACTGCCGTGCTTTTATGTTGTTCCCCAGCGCCAAGCACCCTCACACTCAAGATCAGTCAGGTACTTGCTGTGCCTGGCACTGGGCACATGGCCTCACAGGGTGTCACCTTTCCTGTATTGCTTCACTGCAGCCAGGACAGCAAGCTTCCCACCCTCATATCCAGCGTGCATCGCAGCCGCCACCTCGTTATGCCCGAGCACCCAAGCCACTGTGAATTCCAGAGAGGCAGCGTGGAGCTCGGCTTGGGAGCCGCAGGTGAGATGCCCAGAGAGCTGCCAGGAGTGAGGATGGGGCTTCCAGGGCTTCAACGGCTCACAGGGGGACCGATGGCCCCGCCGCCCTCCTGGTGTCTCTGCTCAGCAGCTCTGGATGCCGCCACCCCCAGCAGCCTTGGCTGGCGGCCAGGGAGGCCAGCAGAGGAGGCGGGAGGTGGCGAGGCCGGCTGTCCCCCGGGGCTCCATGTGACGGTAATTGTGTTAATCCCGCCAGCCAGGCAGACAGGAGGCAGAGGCAGTGGCTCCACTGTGGCTGCTGCTGGGGTGGGCTTGGAATGGCTGAGGCTACTGCCACCCCCTCCTCATGGGACAGACGCAGGAGGGCAGCCAGTGCAGGCCTCACAGAGGCTCAGAAATGTGTGCCTGGGAAGGGCTCAATTGAGAGCAGGGACATCTCTGCATGTACAGGAATGTCTGTTGGCCCCTGGAGAACTGGAGAACAAGGTCCCAGGAGGGAAGAGATCCATCACCTGAGAGAAGGGGTGCTGAAGCCTGGACCTCCATGAGTGGGGGAGGAGGGTGCTGGCCCAGGAGCTCCTGGGATCACCTCAGAAGGGCTTTTGAGGAGGGGACAGTTTGGGGACCCAGGCCCTCCCCAGAGGAGCAGGCAGCAGGGGCCCTGGCACAGGTGAGCTTTGGCTGAAGGGGCAAAAGGGGGGCTGTAAGGAGCCAGTGGAGATCCCTTGATGTCCTGCAGACCCTTGGCAGGGAAGTTTACGGCAGTGGCTACAGCTCTCGAAAAGGCTGGGCAGGAGATGGCCCCCCATCCTGGGACCGCTGAGCACCCCCATGAGCCCCCACAGGCATGCCTGTGCCTGGGAAGGACTTTGTCGGGTGGCTGTGGGGTCTGCTTCTGGGGCTGTGCTGGAGGCAGCTGAGCAGGCAGCTGATAAAATCTAATTGCCCCATCGATCGGGCGGAGCCTTGGGAGCTCCACAATGACTGAGATATTCTGAGCCGTCAGGCCCTCCCCCTGCTGCCTGCACACAGGGAGCCCCCTTTGCAGCACAGGAACACGGGTGTACATGTGTGAGTGAAAGCAGGCATGCGCAATGCTGCCAGCCAGGGCCTGTGTCCTTGGAGCCCTAGCGTGGCCCCCGTACCTACTCACTCCACGTCTGGGTATCCTCACTGGCTTTATGCTGAGGTGCAGGGCGGATGTTAACACATGCTCTGTGTGAAGTGCTACATGTGTGCACCATGTCCAGGTATCCTTGGGGCTGCAGGCTCCCACTGGCTTCCACTTGTTTCTGTTGGCATTGGGTGGGGACATGCCTGCCATAGCCTGCTCTGGCTTCCCTGGGAGCCACATGTCAATCCTATTCCCAAGACCCCAGCCCGGGCCCCGCCCTGGTCCCTGGGCAGGAAGGATCTGGGCAGACTACCAGGAGTTCAGCCACGTCTTGTGACTTGTATGTCTACTTGCTGCCCCAGGTGTGTGCATGAACGTGGCCCTCATAGGGACTAGTGCACCCCCAGATCCCCATGGTAGGACCTTATGCAGCCATGGGGCTTGTTCGTACTCAGCCCCCCACCCACCTCCCCCAGGCTGAGAGAATCCCCCAAGCAGAAAGGGGAGGAGGAGTTCCTACTGTGGAAAATAGGAAACAGATCCCAGGAAGAATCCTGGACTATTTGTTGACTCCCAGAGGCATGTATGTGGGCTGGGGTAGGGCAGCAGGTGTGGACCCAGCCCAGACCCACCTCCAGGCCTGGCACAGCCGGACATGGTGGTCATCCTGCCCACTGGGTCCTGATGCCCTGAGGCTGCTGGGGACTAGCTATGGCCTCCTCGGGAGCTTCATGCTGGTTGTGCCCCCCCACCTGTCCTGCCAGGTCACTAAGGTAGGGGGCCTTCATCCGGTCAGTGGGGACTTCTTCCCTCTCAGGGCAGGGCCTGGGGCTGGGCTACTAGGCCCATGCTAGTGGCAGTGAGGTGGCCGGGATCAATAAGCCATTAGCACCATTCTGTCAGCTGTGAAGTGGAGATTGATTGGTGCTCTCGCTGCTGCCACTCTCCCCGTCTGATAAAAATGACAGATTAGGGGATAAGGAAGAGAATTAGGCTTTGCAGCTGATGGCAGGGCTTCTGGGGAGCCCCTGTCCCAAGGTGTCATGGTGAGCCTGGTCCACTGAGGCAGCAACCCCTCACCACACCTGCCCAAGCGGCCTCGTGAGCTGGAGATAGGGTCAGAGCATGGGGTCTGGACTAGAGGCCAGCACTGTTGTGGGATGTTCAGCAGAGACCCGCCCGCCAGACCTTGGGCTCAGGGCTGGGGTGGAGAGGGGCTGGCTCAGAGAGAGGGCGGGCTGTGGTTTGGATGTGCGACCTGAGAGAGGGCTTCAGGAAAGGGGTGGGGCATGGCCTGGGCTCCCCACTGCTGAGGCCAGGCTGCCGTGAGGCTGCTCAGGGTACCCTCGGGAGCTCAAAGCCTGGCTGGGCAGGTGGGCAGGCGCGCACAGGCAAGGCCAGGGTGCGGGCTCAGGCCTTCTGGGGCAGCAAGGGGTGTGACCAGGATTCTGGGCCCAGGGGAGTGGATGTGGTGGGTGTGTCCAGCCTCAGGGGCCTTAAAGCACCCTCAGGGGACTTCCTGTGCAGGAAGATGTTGGGCTACCCTGGCCTGGGAGGGGAAGGTGGTTTTGTCACATCAGAAGCTTCCCATTCCTCTCTGGCAAGATGCAGAGGCCTCTGTAGTCTGCACAGGAGACCGGTGGGGGTGGCAGGGCACCTATGGGCCCTGAGCTGCTGCCTGAGGCTACTACCAGGAATGTTCCATCACATATACGCATACCCCAGAACCACATTTAGGACTGTCCCATGCCCTCAACCTGTCCTGACCCCGGCATGATGTCCTCTGACTAAAGGCCTGGGACCCTGGGTTGGGCAAGGCCTTGCCCTGGCTGGGAACCTGGGAACCCCTAAGCAACCGCGGATGGCTCTGGGCTGAGCTGGAGCTGGCAGGGACTGAGCCCTGGGCTAGGCCTCTCCCTGCCCCGGACCTCCCACTGTCCATCCCCTCCAAACCCTGGATGCAGGATGGGCTCACTCTACCCTCTCCCAGGTGACCTTTTGGGCAAGAGGCTGGGCTGCTCCCCCCACATCAGCAGTGACTGCCCTTTGGAGAAGAAGGCCCGAAGCAAGTTCCCCCAAGGTGGGAATCCAACCTGGAGGTGGGGGGGACAGGTCACAGGAGGAGGGAGGAGGATAACTTAGATATTCTGCAGGGCAGGGACAGCCCCAGCAGCAGGTTCTAAGAGGGGAGGCCCCGCCTCTCCCCCAAGGCAGTATCTGAAGGTGAAGCCCCCTCACGACGTACTCCCTGCAACACAGAGTCTCTGTTGCTGCCTCAACTAGGGCCCAGCATGGCCCCTGAGGATCACTACCGCAGGCTCATGTCCGCCCTGAGTGAGGCCAGCACCTTCGAGGACCCCCAGCGTCTCTACCACCTGGGCCTCCCCAGCCACGGTACGTGCCCCTCCCTATAACATGATTCCCTCACCAAGTGTCTTACCCACGTGTGCTGGGCTCTCCCTGACCTGGTGGCCATCCTGAAGAGGCCCCTGACACCAAGGCAGGGATTGGACAGGGTCCAAAGGCCCCTCACCCCCACCAAACCCCGTGTCGGTGGGCAGCGAGGCATGGCTCCCGTCTGTCCGCCACAGGCAGCCACATCCACCCCTCCCACAGCTCTCCTGTGGCCCCACCCCCGCCATCTCCCTCTCCTGCCATGTGCAGGCACCGTCCCTGAGCCCCTGTAGGAATGGGAGCTGGGGGTTGAACCAAGCCCACCTGCCCCTCTCCAGCAGATTCTCGTGGACAGAGCCCTGGTTTGTATGCTGTAACCCTTCCCTTTCCAGCACTGTCAGATCACTGGGGTGTGAGACTGGGCCCCACACCCCACCCCAGGTGCCTGCGTTTCTGGGTGGGAGGGGCTGAGGAGAGGAGCAGAGGGCAGCATGGATAACAGGGTTTGGCCACCAGGACCTCACTGGTACTCAGGAGAAGCCCCAGCTGGGGGCCCGTCCCTGCCACACCCGGTGTCCACCCTGCAGACTGGTTTGGTCTATCTGTCCATCCCACCTCTCAAAGACACCTGGCAGTCCCCCCATCGCAGAGACACACTGGGGCCCCTTTGCCAGCTGCACCCCACCCCTGCAGGCCCCAGCCCACGGTGCTGGGGGAGCTTGGCTTTTCTGGCTGGAGGTGGGTGAGGGAGGGGTGTTGGGAACTAGGGCAGGATTTCCTCTCTGCACACAAGGCACTGTCCCCCAGGGCAGTCAGGCACCGAGAGCCTGAATAATTCACCAAATGTTAATAATTTAAAAATCTTCCCTTTTAATTGCTTTCCCTGCCCTGCCTGGGGCGGGCGGCGCTGGCCTCCGCGGGGGAGGGGGCGCCGGCCGCCGGGGAGCAGCGCCGGGAGTTGGGCTGTCAATCATGGCCCCGCGGAGCCTGCTGTAAATAACCCAGGCCGCCGGCGGGCGGGGGCGGGGGCGCGGGGCCCGCTGGGGTCGATGCAGGCGGCCGCGCCGGCTGGGCTCTGCGGGCTGGCACCCGGCCCGGGCGGGACCCACCTCCGCTTTTCAGATAATTAATTTATAAACAGTTGGCGGCGGAGCCTGCACAAGTGGGGGGCTGCGGGGGGACTCGGAGTACCGGCCCTGTCCTGAGCCGACAGAGGGACTTGGAGGGGAGCAGAAGGCGCCAGACGCCTCGGAGGGGGTCACCTGGGCAGCGCCAGTCTGGGGCTCCAGACCCGCTCCGCCCCAGCTCCCCACTCTTAGGCGTTCGCACGACCTCAGGCCCTCTGAACCCATCAATACCGACCTTCAGGCACCGCGGACCCCCCGCCTGCCCGGCCTTTCCCTCCCTCTCCCTGCATTTTGGTCACTGACTTCCCCATATCCTTTTCAAATGCTCGCCTGTGCCTGTCCCAAGTGGGGGCCTCGCACCCCCAACTGCAACATTCTCACTGCACTGTAATGTTCTGTGTGTCCTCTGCCTTGTGGCCTCCTGTGCAACTTCCTGTCCTGGTGACCGAACCAGCAGTGTCAGTGTGAGGATGTCTCACAGCCCCTGGCCTCCTGGACTCACCTTGTGCCCACCGCGGTGCAGAGGGTAAGAGCCTGGCCTCTGGGTCACTGCTGTCACCCACCCCCTACACCCCAGATCTACTGAGGGTCCGGCAGGAGGTGGCGGCAGCAGCTGTGAGGAGCCCCAGTGGCCTGGAAGTCCACCTTCCCTCATCCACAGCAGGTCAGCGTCGCAGGCAGGGCCTGGCTCAGCACCGAGAGGGCGCCGCCGTAGCTGGTGCCCCGTCCTTCTCAGAGAGGTACTGGGGTGCCTGGGCTCTGAGACGCCCCCATGTTCTCTGTGCTTGCTTCTGGTCTACAAAGCTGACAGGGTTCCTGGTTTCTGCAAGTCATGCCCACAGCTTGCACATCCCCTCTTGTTAGCCACCTTCACTTGAGCACAATCCCCTCCCCTGTAGCAGCCACGCACAGCCCTGTGTTTAGGAGATTGTGCCAGGAACTGTGCTGGCCATAGGTACACGGCCTGCTGTGAACAAGGGTCCTGACGCTTGCTTGGCTGTGCAGAGGCCCAGGAGAGCATTATTGGGGTAAAATGTGTGTGGGTGACCCACCCCTCTGAGCAACTGTGGGACCTGCTGCATCCTGTGCCCCTGAGACAGCTGAGGGCTTTGCTCCCCCAACAGGTAGGTGAGGGTGCTTGAGGCAGGTTGGGGAATCCCTTGGAGGGGGCAGAAGCTGATGAGCGGAGCAGCATGAAGTCTGGAAACCCCGTCGGGGAGCTGGGAGGGCCTCCCCAGCAGCGCCGATTCAGACACCGGGGCAGTTAACAGATGAAGCCTCTCAGGGTTGTCGAGGCCCGGAGACACCGAGGAGGGGTGGGGGGCTGGTCGACCTGCGAGGAGTGACTGGTGAGCAAGCTCGGGGCCGAAAGGGCTGCAGCGGCCCCAGGGCCTCCAGCCCAGCTGCCAGGGCACGACCCCTCCTCCCATCCCCGGGCCTCTGCAACTCTTAAGCCCCCGGCCGGGCCCCCGCGTGTCATTTGCATCTGCCTCCACCGCCTACCCGATTGCGGCTGTTTGCGCCCCACCCCCCGGCCGTGCAGTGTCCGCGGAGGGAGGGGGCCTGGCGCGCACCGCGTGGTAATTACCGCTGCAGTTACTGCCGCCCACAGGGTCAGCGCCTCCGCGCCGCCGTCGAGATTAATTGGCGCCGCCAGCGGGGGCGGGAACGGCGGGCGACTAGGAGCTGTAGCGGGCGGTGCATCGACCGCCCACGGGGAGGGCAATTAGCAGGGGCGGCCGCGAGGGGCGGGGGACCGTAGGGGGCAGTGGCAGTTACAGGAATGGAGGGGACGCGTAGGGAGGCGGCCAGGGCCTGCGGCGCGCGCCGCTCACCGCCCTGCTGTCCACAGGGAGCCGTCGCAGCCGCCCCCCTTGCTATCGCCCCAGAATGCCCCGCACATCGCCCTCGGACCCCACCTCAGGCCCCCCTTTTTGGGGGTGCCCTCGGCTCTGTGCCAGACCCCAGGTGAGGAGTAGGAGAGGTTTGCGAGCCTTCCGTGCTCTGGGGGGGCCCGTGAGTGCGCACGCCGAGGTCGTTGGTGTGGGGCATCGGGCCCCCCTGTGACCGACACTGCGCCCATGAGCGCTCCTGTAGGACGCAGCCCTGCCCTTTTGAAGCCAAGGACAGGCTAGGGCGGGCTTGGGTGGCCCCGGACCACTCGGCCATCCGACCTCGTGATCTGTCCGCTTCCCACCAGGTTATGGCTTCCTGCCCCCTGCTCAGGCGGAGATGCTGGCCCGGCAGCAGGAGCTCCTGCGGAAGCAGAACCTGGCCCGGTAGGTGCCGCGGCCACCGGTGGGGAGAAGGCGACACTGCCGAGCTTGCTGATCCTCTGCCGTGTGCTCCCCGTGCTCCAGGCTGGAGATGTCGGCGGAGCTGCTGCGACAGGAGCCGGAGAGCGCGCACCGACCGCAGCTGCTGGCACCGGAAGCCCCCCTGCGCCCACCCGAGGGCGCCGAAGAGCTGCAGCGGCGCGGGGCCATGCTAGTGCTGAGACACAGCTCCACGCCGATGCTGGCCCTGCCCCCCCAGGGCCCCCCGGGCCCCGGACCCCCAACCCCACCCCGGGAGTCTGCCCGCCGAGCCCCTCGGAAGGGCGGCCGCAGCCCTGCCTCAGCGCGGCCCAGTGAGTCCAAGGAGACCTCTGGGGCTAGGCTCTGGGCACAAGATGGCTCTGAAGATGAGCCCCCCAAGGACTCAGACGGAGAGGACCCCGAGATGGTGCCCGCTGAGGGCCGGGACCCCACCCTGGGCCAAGCCCCAACTGGAGGCACCAGCTCTGAGGGGAAGGGCCTTTTCTCTGGGCCCATGCTGCCCCCTCCACTGCACCTGGGCTTTCCCTATGCCGTCAGCCCCTTCTTCCACACAGGTGGGCACCCTTCCCCCAACCCTCCACCCACATCCCAGGGGTCTTAGGGAGGAGGGCCCACCGGGAGAAAAATCCTTTTGTCATTAAACATCTCAACAATTAAGGCAAAGGAAGACAGGTGGGGGCACAGCAAACAGCAGGCCCAAGTCTGAGTAACTCCTCCCCCAACCCCCCCACCCCAGGCACCATGGGGGGACTCTCCACGGATGGGGAGGAGGCCACAGCCCCTGAGGATGTCAGCAAGTGGACAGTGGATGATGTCTGCAGCTTTGTGGGGGGCCTGTCTGGCTGTGGAGAATATGCATCGGTGAGGGGGCACCTGCCCCAGATGGCTGAACTCCCACTCCCCACTGCCTCTTCCCACCCCTAATTTCTCCCCTCAAAAGCAGTGTGTGCGCGCTGGGGGGGAGGGGTGCATGTCCCTCTGGCCCACTTTGCCATGTCAGTGCTTCTGCCTCCAACACTGGCACATGCCCAACAGACTTATATTTCATTGGAAACTTTTCCTGAAAACCGCACAAACAGCTCCTTCTGGCCCTGCTTTCTCTGGAAATCTTGGGCCAATGCAGGTCACAGCCCTTCCTCAGCTGGAGGGATCCGGCAAGGTGAGCAGGCACTGCTAGTGGCACTCAGGCCCTGACACCACCCACCACAGGTCTTCAGAGAACAGGGGATCGACGGGGAGACCCTGCCCCTGCTGACAGAGGAACACCTCCTGACCACCATGGGGCTGAAGCTAGGGCCTGCTCTCAAGATCCGGGCCCAGGTAGGTACAGCTGGAGGCGGTGGTCCCGACAATGGAGGGGGCAGCACAGAAGCTCTCCGCAGCTGCAGGTCCCCCACCCAGGCCTGTCTTTCCATAGGTGGCCAAGCGACTGGGACGCGTCTTCTACATGGCCAGCTTCCCCGTGGCTTTGCCGCTGCAGCCACCAACACTGCGGGTCCCCGAGCAGGAGCTTGCCCTCACTGTGGGGGAACAGCCATCGCCAGCAGTAGCACTCTCCCCCTATGGGGGGGGACGCCCCCCAGCTGGCCAAGCCTCACCCAAGCAAGAGAACGGGATGTCTCTGCTCCCAGGGCCTGCAGACCCCTCCCAGCCTCTGTGCTGAGCTAGTGGGTGAGCCACTGAGCCCCCAGCCCTTCAGCACCTGCCACTCCAATGCAATGGCCCCGCCTCCCACAGCTCATTTTCCTTGTAGCTTTGGATACAAAAACACAATTTTTTAAAGAAAACGTGACGAGAAAAGGAACAAGTCCACAGGTCGGGAGTCGGCTGCAAAGCCTGGTGCAGACAGCCTAGGGGCCCCAACTGAGACCGGGGTGCACGGGCTCTGCATCCTGGGCAGCTACACACAAACCAGAGACGGAGACGGCACAACATCCTACGCCGGTCTGGCCATGCCCGCTGGCTGCCTCTAGAACTGGGACCGCTCTTGAGGTCGTTGACATCCTGCTCAGGCGAGGTCAGGCGAAACCCCGCTCCAGATCTCTTCCCTCAGACTCGATGAATCTAAGCCTCCACCACAGGGTGCAGCTCCAGGGATCGGCACAATGCTCGGTACTTCCGATCTTTTATGTTGTAAGAATGAAGCCCCATCCAACATCCACCACCCTTCCCCATGGCACGGGCACTGGCCTCAGGGCCTCTGGGCTCAGCACCAGCCAAAAGCTGCATGCCCGACTGCCCACCGAGATGGAGGCTGCAGAGCAGCCCTCAGTCCTCCTCGGACAGCTGTAGGTCCTGAAGCTCGTCCTCCGGCCCCTGGGCCAGCTGCCACAGCTCCGCGCGGTCCAGCCCTGCCCCTGTGTCTGGGCCTCCATCTGCAGGGAGGGACAGAGGCTACATAAATTCTGCTTTATCAGGAAGAAGCTAACTTTGAAGATTACTCATCACTAATTAATCACAGCACTAATTTATTGGTACCAGCAGGAACAGAGCGGCAGGCCTGGCATTCCCGGGGAGGGGCGTGGGCCCGGCTTGGAGTCTTCACTGCAGCCCTGCCCACCCAGCCAGGCCAGCCCGGGACAGCTGTGGGCTCTTGGACAGAATGCGCTCAATGGGCCATAGCACCCCTCACTTGAGGAGCCACTCACCCTCTGAGCTGCTGGCTTCGTCCTCGTGGCCACTACTGCCACCATCATCCTCTTCCTCCTCCTCTTCCACCCTCTGCCGAGCTCTCAGGGACCCGGGCGTCCCTGGGGACCAAGAAGAGACCATGGGAGCGCTCCCGGTAGCATGGTGCGGGCAGCTAGGGCAGGAGGGTCAGGCCAGGCTCCCAGCCCCGCGCCTGCCCTGCCTTCAGGCCTCCTTCCTGAGCGAGAGGCCTCAGAACTGCCCTGAGTAGCGGGAGCGAAGCGGTGGGGAGAGGGGTAGCGGGACCAGCAGCAGAGCCCAGCAACCCTGAGCGCTGAGGTGGTGCGGGCTCCTTCTCTGGTCCACGGGGTGCGCAGGGAGGCTCTCCGGGCCCACTGCCTCTTCCCCCAGGAGCATGCAGGGCCTCACCTCTCTCGAAGTCCAAGGTACTGTCCTCTTCATCACTGTCCATGTCAAAGAGGCCCTGGAATTCTACCTTGTCCTCGTCCTTCCTGTCCCCCACCTTCCTCCGCTTTATCTCTGGGAATTTCAAGTCTTCCAGCTGGAGGGACCCAGACAAGAGCAGCAGGTCTGGGTGGGCAGGCGGTCCTGAGAGCTCACCCCAGCTGACTTATGTCTCAGCGGAACCCTGGCCACAGCTACTGTGTTTCCCTCCCCCAGATTCCCAAAGACAGGTTTTTCAAAACCTAGGGTCCATTCCCTTCGTCCCCCCACGCGAGGATCCTGCTCAGCCTCTTTTTCTAGCTGACTTTTGGTCAACAGCGCTAGGTAGGGTTCCTGGACAGTGGCCCAGTAGCTGGGTGAGGAGGCCCTCGACACAAGCTGGCCACACACTGCCATCAAAGCTGCGGCCACATCCCTGGCTGCAGACCCACCCTTTGTGTTCCCCCATCTTCAGCCATCATTCCCATGACAGATGGCAAACCCATAAAGACACCAGGATGTGGACGAAGTCACAGGTATGTCCCTTAGCAAGAAACTGTCCCTCAGGTCACGCCACTTGGCAGCCACTGGCTAGGCCCCTCCTCCCCTGCCCACCTGCCCCACTTGGTGTCACAGGTTGGCCTGCATGGCATTGTCGGTCCAGCTACTCCCTCCCTGAAAGCCCCCAGCCCATCAGGCCTGAAGAGGAACCACCTCTGCGCTAGCACAGGCCTGGGGCCTCTCCTAGGGTCACGGGGAAAGCCCTGGACCCTACCCAGGTCTGTGGGACAGCTGCTGCAGGCTGCAGTTGGGGACAGCCCCCAACCAGTCCTGCTGATCCACCCCTAGGACTGTTCTCTCCACCACAGTCCCTCACTGCACCCCACCCCCAAGTCTTCAAGTCACAGCCAGGGCGCTGCATCCGGGCCCCAGAACAAACCAGCCAGCTGTGCCCACATCCCCCAACCCCCAGCCCACCATACCCGCTCTTTGCCACTGATCTCCAGCTGAATCTCTCTGTCCCTCAGCTTCTTCCACTGGCTGTAGTACTTGGTGAGAGGAGTCCCCTCCTCTCTGGTCTGCTTCTCCCAGGCGTCCTGTAAAAAAAGGTTTATGTCCCACACTAGGCAAACCTCCAAGCCTCAGCCACATGCTGGCCAGTGCCTCCCCCCAGGGTCCAGGCACCAGTCCCCAACTGACCACAGCTTGCTGGTCAGCCACGCTGAAGGGGGCCCCCTGGCGGTGGCTACTGATGTACTCTGTATTCTCTTGCACCTTCTCGAGCAGCTGGCGCATCTGCCGGCAGTAGTTAGCCACCTTGCACTCCCGGAGGAAGAATTTCAGCTGCAAGAGGGGAACTCGGCCTAGCTCCAGGCACAGGGCTGCTCTGCACCCCATGACGGGTCCTGGGCCTGTGAGAGCCACACACGGGGACCACAGGGAGGTGGAGAGGTCCGTGTCTCAGGGCCCTAGAGCACTCGTGGGGGCTAGAGGCCCGCCAGCAGGGTGGATGCTCAGCAAGGGCCACTGGCAGTGAGGCAGCATGGATCTACCCTTCAGGCCAAACCCCACTCGCTGCCTGTCCCTGTAAATAAAGTGGTATTAGCACACAGCCACATTCACCACTTATGTACTTCTCTGGGGGTTTTTCTGTACTTTGTTGAGGGAGTTGAGCAGTTGTGAGAAACCCACAACTACAAAATATTTACCACTCGGCTCTTTACAAAAAAATTTGCTGACCTGTTCACAATCCTGGGACCTCCAGCCCAAAAAATACAGCCTTGCACACAGACACACACACTATTTCTGGACAGGCCTCTGAGCCAGGTATGAGCAACCCCATCCCCACTCACCAAATGAGCCTGTGACTAGTCGGTGGATTCTGCCAACCAGGGTCAGACGGACAGGCAGTGCCCCCTGGCCCTCCCATGAGAGGCACAGAACTCCCAGAGATGGAAAACTTCCCATCTAAGCTGAAGCAAACACACCCCACAGGGCATCCAGGAAGGGCTTCCAAGCAGGAGGACCCTGCAATACCACCACCAGTATCGCCTGAAGGACAGCTGAGGCAGGGCCAGCCAGGGCTCCTGTCACCCTGACCCAGCCCATCCTTCACACCCGCACCAGGACCACCTGGGAGAGTGTGCAGTCAGGAGGCCAGCATGGTGCAGGACTGGAGGGCCAGGCTGGGTCCAGCCAGCTCAGTTTCAACTTCCCCAGGACAGAACTCATCAAGGGTCTGGTCCCTGGGCTGTGCCAGGCTAGGGAGGAGCTGGCCGGTCCTGGGGTCACAGCCGACTTGCCCAGGCCAGCCCCACTCCTCAGATTCCGCAGCCTGTACTCCTACCCCCACACCACAATCACGGGGATCCTGCTGCCAGACGATGCCTGTGCAGAACCCATAAGCCAGCTAGGCTCTGCTACTGGACCTGTGTGGCTTGTGACAAGGCTGCCTCCCTCCGGCACACGCCAAAGAGGAGCTGAGCCCATTATAAGACAGTCTAGTTGGCCATGAAACAGGCCATTGAGGGGTCTGGGTGGAGAGGGTAGGCGGGAGCACACACCTGCAGGACGGCAGGCAGAGCTAGTTCGGGGAACGCGACGCTGTGGGCCTGGCCCTGCAGGTACTCCAGGGTGAGGTCATACAGCTGTTCCACCAGGCCATCCTGAGGCAGCAAGGGGACAGGAGAGCGTCAGAGGACATGGAGCTCCCTCTCCAGGGCAGGGAACCAGAGGACATGCCTCCCCAGGAGTCTCAGGCTCACTGGGGTGGAGACCAAGGAGTGCCTGCTCCCCAACTCTAGGAGACGCATGAGGGTCCACACTGAGGCTTGGGGGGTCAGCTGTCCACATGTCTGCCTCCACACTCCACCTGCAAACTGACCTCAGTGCCCTCTGGCATGAGCCACCCCCACCAGGGCATTCCCCAGCCTCACCCGGTATGCCTTCTCCTGCAGGTTAACCTTGGACAGCTTCAGGACCACAGCAAAGTTGATGGGCTTGGAGCTCATGCGCCCCGGCCTCCTATTGAAGTCGACCTGCTGAAACACCTGCCCCAGGACGACATCACCCAGCCTGCTGCCTCCCACACCCCACCCGAACCCTGGGTTCCTGCCAAGCTATCGAGGCCAGAGAAAAATGGCCGATGCAGTGCCAGCCCCATGGCCCCACAGGCACCTCCCACCTCCGCCTGAGTGTGCTGGCCTTCCAGAGTTCTGGCCCCCAAGGGAGTCCCTTTCATACCAGAGTCAGGCCCTGGCCAATACACTGCACACACACTGGCACTGACCCTCTCCTAAAACTGGGCCAGGAAGCGGTAAGGATGGGTCTGGAGACCATGGGTCCTCCTGAACAGGGCCACTTCCCTGCAAAGTCTTCACCCAAGACGGTGTCCCAAGGCCTGGTCCTGGCCCCAGGGATGGATCCGCAGGAGTAACACATCCAGGGACAGGTCTCAGGCAAGGGCCCGAGTGGCTCTCCCGTGTCCTTCAGAGACTGCAGGCTGCACACAGTGACCTTGACCTTAGCAGCCCATACCCCAGCCCTGGTCTGAAGGCTGGAGGGTACCCAGTGAGGAGCAGAGTGGGAGCCATGCCTGGCCTCCTAGCCTGGGGACCCCGGCACCACCACCACCCAGGGGTGGTCGAGGGTATATCCCTGAGGGGGACAGAGAGCTGACTCTGGGGAGGCCTGACTGGGGAAGGCCACTGACAGGCAAGATGCTTCACAGCGGAACTTGGCCTAGCTCCAGATGAGGATCAGCCGTAAGGGGAGAAATAACAAAAGGGTCCCTGGAGAGCACCGCCCCTTCTCTAGCCTGGCTCGGCCTCAGGGTCGAGGGCAGGTGACTTTGCACAAAGGGCTGCTCTCAAGCCGCCTTCTCACCCAAGCAGGGAGACAAGGCAGGGACTTCCTGGAGGCTGAGCACTTCGCTTTTGCCTCTGGTTTGTTTTCTCTTTGACGAGAGGCCTGAACCCTGGTCTGAGAGGTTGTGGGAGCTCAGCTTCAACAAGCCAAGGCAGGGGTCAGGAAGAGAGCTGCAAGAGCTGCGCCCAGGAAGCAGAAGGGGCCCTCAGGAGCCGAAGGGCAGGGAGGGGCAGATGGACAGATGCCCAAGGCTGGCCTGCAAGGTGGAAGGCACACAGCAGGACGCCAAGCCGGCAGCCTCCAGGGTCAGAGGTCATCGAAGGGGCGTGGGTATTTCCAAAGGACACTTGTAAGAGCACAGAAATGCAACACCCCTGCCTCAGGGACACTAGACAGCAACGCTCCTGGGGCTCCCATCCCTGCACCCCTCGGGAGGGAGGTGCAGCGCACAGCCCTGGCCACATGGAGACGCTGCGTTGGGTATCCACTGGGTGGTGCTGAGGCTGCCCTGATGGGAATATGAATCCTGAGTATATGGTGGGCTGGAGCCTAGCCCCCAGCGGATTTCTCAGCTTTGGACCACAGCCCTGCCCTACCTGAGCCACGTGCCCATGCAAACACACAGTCACACATACACACGTGCACAGGTGTGCATACACAAACACACGGGTGCTCAGAGAGCACACAGCTGTGGAAGCAGGCCTGGGCTTCTGCCCCAGATCCCCTGCTCACTCCCATCTTGGGCAAATGCCTATATGGGCCCAGCTCCGCGTTCTGAAGCCAGCACCCTCGGGCAGGCCCAGCCCCTCATGGCCACTCCTGGCCACCAGCAAGTGCAGCCAACCGGGAAGGGAGCAAGTGCTGAGCACGCCAGCACGCGGGAGAGTCACCCCATGTCCCCTGGCAGTCCGCAGTGCAGGAGGCACCTCCAAAAGAGGCGCGGCCCCGCCCTGCACCTGCCCACTCACCTCGAGGAGGAATGGCAGCACTGGGATGAAGGTGCCGGTGCTCTCCGAGAGCAGCGTCAGGGTGCGCACACAGTGCATGCGCAGCGGGTAGAAGCGGGCGGTGGGGACCAGCCTGGGGCACAGGAAGCGGCAGTGAGCAGAGGCCCCAGCCTGAGACCACCCTCCAAACCAGCCTCATTCTCCTGACCCAGCTGCCACTGCCCCTCCCCACCCAGGGGGTCCAGCCTCAGAAGAACCCCTCCCTATCACCTGTCAGGGCCAGGGGCCACCCTGCCCTACTGAAGTCCCGCCGCACTTCAAGCCCACCTCCTGGGCTCAGGAGGGTGGGGGCATGCCCACCCAGGGTTTGACCTAATCCCACCTTAACTGTGGGGGTGCTGTTTCTTCAGGCCTTTGCTTCCTCCTGCTCCCCACTTGCATGGCTCCCCCTTCAGGAGCCCAGGAGTGACCCTCCTGGCTGCTAGGACTCCTCCATTCTCTACTCCCAGACACACCATGCCACACCCACCGACCAGGAACACCAGGCTGATACACCCAAACTCCCTCCAGACTAACTGGGCACCCTCTACCCAGCATCCCCTAGAATACATGTGCTGCACCCAGCAGTTGCCCCGACCTGGGGCATTCTCTAGTGCAGGGTCCTGGGCTATCAGGGGCACTGCCCAGGCCCGCCTGGCCTCCAGGACCCCTCCCTGTGTAACCCTGACCTTCAGAGAAGCTTCCTATAACCTAGTCCCCAGATGCCCTGTGTACACTGGCCCTGACCCCATACAGTCTGAGTAACCTGGCTCTGTCTTCCTTTGGGGACCCTGCCTACCCAACTCACTTGATGCAGCCGATGACAACCTGGGAGAGAGGGTATATCAGGGGCTGCAGGGCTTCGCTGGGATGGATGGTGCTGAGGACGCGGCCCCACAGGCAGAGGCAGTGCACAAATTGCCAGTTGTACACTGACTGGTAGGTCTCCTGGGCAGAGTGAAGGCCACGTCTGGTCACCCCAGATATATCTCGGGAGGGCCCAGTTCCCATCAACCACTGTGCGCACAGGGTCCCAGCCTGCCAACCCCCTAATCCTACCCACTGGCCCTCAGAGCTGCCCCCACCCTCCACCTACTCCCACAGCCCCCACCAACATGCTGGGTGGTCCCTCCCAAGAGACAAGGGCTTCCGGGATGCCCCAGACCCTTTGCTGGGGCAGGCTCCTAGCCGGCGCACACCTTCTTCCGTGTGGTCATGGCATTGCGCAGGTGGACAGCGAGCTGGCGGATGTACAGGAAGGCGTGTTGGTAGGCAACACCTGTGTCCAGGGCAAGCAGCTCTGTCAAGGTCCGCTGCATGAAGCTGATGAGGGGCAGGGCACTGGGGGAGGTGAACTTGCAGTTCCTCACATACGTGATGTACATTTGCTGCCGGAAAGACCTGGTCAGAGCCGTGTCCAACTCCGATGTACCACCAGAAACCTGGACCTTTCCCCTGCAGCCCGCCTGAGCCTGCTGCAGACCCCTGCCCCTGCTCAGCACCTGCTCCCCGGGCCCCCACTGCTGCTCATCCTCCTCAGGGGGGTGCCCGCTACTTGGGGCACAGAGTCTGCAGTGCAGAAAGGAGAGGTCCAGGTACCTGGAAGGGCAGGTACCAAGGAAGGGCGAGCCACAACGTGAACACCCAGGGGATGGGCGAGGGGACCCTGAGGGACTGGAGGCAGAAAGGCTGGGAAGCCCTGCTGAGGCCAGGCCTATAAAGGGGGGACCAGAGGGTTCCTGTGTGGAGCAAGCCACACCAGGCCACACCAGAGCTGGGCAGCAGGGTCCCTGTCCCTTGCCATACCCAGTGTCCTTACCCACGGAAAGAACAGCTATGCAGAGCAGCCCACATGGAGCTCCAGGGGGCCAAGGGCTGCCATTCCTCATTCCCGACCCCATCCCCCACTTCCCAGAGAGGAGACCATGCCGAGGGCCCAGTTCTGCCCTGAACCACAGTGCCAGCATGGGGTGCCGACCAGAGGCAGCTTGCCCCGTCCTCAGGCAGACCCTCTGCCTAGAGCAGACTCGGGGGCACTACAAGCAAGAGGCCCCAGACCTGCTACCTTGAGGACGGGGCTCAGGAGCACATCCTTCCTGTGCCGGCACACTCTGACGAGGACCAGGAAGGCCAGCACGCGCAGCGTCTCCTCGCCGGTGCTCCACAGGGCCACCATCCTCTGCAGAGGGTGAGACACCACTCCTGCCCCAGGTGCCCCAAGCCCTCTGGAGGCTCCTGGGGTCCTGCAGGGAGAAAGCCCTTCCCCTCACACCTCAACGGGAGCCATGGGTTAGAACTCTGTTAAGGAGAAACAAAAGCATACGCAGAACACACCCCCGCCCCCCAGGGCACAGCACCCAGAAAATCACCTCTGGCAAGGGGTGGGGACATGGCTGAGGGCAGCTACATGCCCCCAATCACGCCACCACCGGGAGGGCCCGCGCACCTTGAGCAGTATGCGGCACTGCTTGGGGAAGGTCAGGTAGTAGAGCACAGAGCTGCTGATGTGCCGGAGGACGGCAGCTGCCACTGTCACCTCTGCTACACAGGCCACCAGCTGGGGAGGCAGGAGGGGTTGGTATGGGCAGGGACCGTCAGTCCAGGACACAGGAACGGTGGGACCACTGGGCATGGCCAGGCCACCCCCCCAGCCAGAAATGCACCTGTGTGACTGAGCTCAGGTAAGCCTTGACATCCAGCCGGAGCCTCCCCCACCGTGGGCTGGCAGACGGCTGCGGCACCCTGCAGAGAGGGGACCACACCACCTGCGTGAGCCATGCTGCCCAAACATGAGCCACTGGGTGTGAAAAATGTCCCATCAGTGCAGTGTCCAAGACACGGGGCACAGGGGCCTGAGGGAGACCCCAACCCATTTCTCCCCATGCGAACTTCAGGGAACCCAAACAGCAGGACCAACACAGGATGGACCAGGACGCCCTGAGGTGCCCAAAATGATGCCTGAGGAGGCACGACCCCAGGCCCCATAGGCCACCCCACCTGGCTAGAGGGCCGAGAACAACCATCATCTTTGTCTGAGCTGGCCGTGACCCCCAGTCTGACCCCCAGTCCCCAGAGGGACGCCCAGCCTCCAACTCCCTCCCGCAGACCTCAGGCACGCAGGGCGCCCTCCCTCCCTGAAGTCTGACCCAGGCTATCACAGGCTGGTTTTCTCTGGCCCATACATGCTCTTCAAAAGCCAAGCCATCCACATTTATGACTTAGCTTCACCAAAAATCCAGACTCTGGCCTCTTTTGAAAACCTGAAAGACCTGGCTGTCGTGGCTGACATTCCTGAAGTTTCTCAGAATGCAGCACACAGTACATGCTCATTGAAACTTGCTGAAACATATGACAGAATAAAGGGCAGGAGCCCCTGAAAGCCTCCCCATCAGCTGACACCAGCTGTCCTGCACCCGTAGCCAGCGGCCCTGGCCCAGGAGGCAAGGCCACCCACTTTCTCCCCATCAGAAGCCTGGCCCATGCCAGCACCACTCACTCAGTGCCTGTCCCCTCCTCCCCTCAGCTTCCCCACCCCTTCAGACAGGGTCTCCTCCCCATGGCAACTCCCCCCTGGTACAGCAGTCCTTTCCTGATGGCCACCACCAGACCCAGGTACTGCCATCTCCGAGCCCACTGCTTCCCCCAGCTCCCCAGACCCCTTCCTAGAGATTTCTTTCTTCTTCAAAAGGTATCTGGGGTGAGTCTGGCCCTCCAGGCCTCTACTGCCTCCAGGTCATGTGGCTGCATGGCCCTCCCAGCCACAAAGTGACCCAGATTCTTCTAAATGTCTGCCGTTCTTCTCTCCTCTCTGAAGACCTATCACAGGCTTCTCAGCACAAGCTGCCTCTAACAAGCTAACGCTCTCAGATCCAGCAGCCATGAGGCCCCAGCCTGCAGACAGATCCACACGCCTTCTACAGAACACGGGCAAGGGCAGTGAGCAAGTTACCCATCTAGAGAGAAGAGAAACCTGGCAACGTGGGGGCGCAGAGCTAAGCACACACTCTGTGGCACCAGAGAAATTCTAGTCAGAGAATTTCCTTTTTCAGAAAGGAGAGATAGGAATAAGGGTGGGGACCCCAAAATGGCCTGAGTACCCTGCTTCCCAGGAGCCCTGCAAAGAGTCTGGCTCTGCCTCAACAGCCCTCTGCGCCAGCTGGATCTCGAGGGGGTGCCAGGTCACAAGGCCTCTGCCCTCCCCGGTGCACAGCCCTGACCATGTCCCCGCCATCCTACCCTCTTCCTCTTACCTGCCGTTCTCCTTTGGGACTTTTCCAAACAGCAGCTTCTGGAGGCAGCCAAGGAGGTCTCTGGTGCAGAAGGTGACCAGAGCATTGAATGCTGCAAGGAGGAGACCGCAGGTGCCACTCACAGGACAGAAGATGGAATGGAGGGCATGCACCCTGGGTCCCCTCGCCCCAGCTCACCAGCACTATCTGTGACCTGGAATCTCCTGGCCTCGGAAACTTCTTGGTCTCCTTGGGTGGTGGCTACAGCTGCTCGAAACGCCTGCACAACTTCGTGGAACAGCTTTGGAGTAAGGTGCTGCTAATAGGGCAAGAAGACCCAGAATGTCGATGGCACAGCCATGGTGATGGACACAGGAGCCTGCTCTTTGACAGAAAGGCACTGCTCGCTCACATTCTCAGATACAGAGCAGAAGTGGGAGCAGGGCCACTGAGCCACGTGCAAGGAACAAAAAGAGCAGAGTCCTGAATCCTTCCAGAACGGCAGGGAGCCTAGCTCAGAGACCATGGGGGAGGGGCGGAGGGTCCCAGATGTGCAATGGCCAGCTCCAAGTGGTACCACAGCAAGACCCTTGGAAGAAGGGCCCTGGCTCTACCAACTGCAAAGGCACAGAGACTACATCCTGCTTACAATGGATGCTGGGGAACAGGAAGCCCAAGAGAGAAACTGAGAGGAAGGGAGCAGTCAGAGGCCCCAGAATCTCTGACTAAAAGAGAATGTAATCCCGGAGTCTCCAGTGCACCTTGTAATAAGCCTCTTTTGTGCTGAACAGGAGACCAGTGCTCAGAGATGGGCTCCTCCCACTTGCAAAGCCCCAGGGAACTGAAATGAGGTGGGGAAAGAATCCTAAGGGGGGCTGTCCATCTACCCACCCTATGCCATTTCTTACCTTTGCCGCCTGCTTCCACCTGTCAACCATGGCGAGGGTCACAGGGGCCAAGTCCCTCTTCTTCCCTTTTGGTCCTCTGGGGACGTTGTCCTCATCGTCTTCACCTTCCCCCTCCTCACTCACTTCCTGCACCAGACACAGAGGGCTGGGCTAGAGCAGGACGCAGAGGCCACAGGGGTGCCCCCTGCGCTCTGCCCGACTCTGCCCAGGCCCTCACTTCCAGCACATCTGGCAAAGAGTGGAGCTGCTCCTCTTCATCCTCAGAGCTGTCTGAGTCACTGAAGTTCAGCAGGCTCTGGTCATTCTCCTGGAGGAACCTGTAGAACTCTGGGTCTTTGTCTTTCAGCCGAGAGAGCTGGTCCTTGTGCTCTGACGCTCGGCCTTTATGCTGCCTGAGGAGGTGAGAGGTCATCAGGTCCAATGGGCAGGCACAGCCATGGGGGTTGAGCGGGTGTGAGTTTTTCCCTATCCTTCATGCTGTCAACTTGCCAGCCTCCTCAGAGAAACTACCTGGCTTAGCCTGCTCCCTCCACAGCCACTACCACCCATCAGCAGCAGGATTTCCAGGGTAAGTTTTCGACAGCTCTCTCCCCAACCCCAAACTCACACACCCAACAGCTTCTCCATCCGTACGTCTCAACACGGGCAGTCTAAACCCAACACCTAAGGCGCTAAACTTGTGCTTCCCACAAACTTGTTCTGCCCATACCAGCTATACCTCAATTATAACTACCTATCCAGGTAAGAAATAATCTGTCATTCACTCCCACCATACAATGTCATGTCATCTCATCAGGAAAACCTTCTAAACCCCTCACGCCTCCTCTCAAANTAGCCACCTTGCACTCCCGGAGGAAGAATTTCAGCTGCAAGAGGGGAACTCGGCCTAGCTCCAGGCACAGGGCTGCTCTGCACCCCATGACGGGTCCTGGGCCTGTGAGAGCCACACACGGGGACCACAGGGAGGTGGAGAGGTCCGTGTCTCAGGGCCCTAGAGCACTCGTGGGGGCTAGAGGCCCGCCAGCAGGGTGGATGCTCAGCAAGGGCCACTGGCAGTGAGGCAGCATGGATCTACCCTTCAGGCCAAACCCCACTCGCTGCCTGTCCCTGTAAATAAAGTGGTATTAGCACACAGCCACATTCACCACTTATGTACTTCTCTGGGGGTTTTTCTGTACTTTGTTGAGGGAGTTGAGCAGTTGTGAGAAACCCACAACTACAAAATATTTACCACTCGGCTCTTTACAAAAAAATTTGCTGACCTGTTCACAATCCTGGGACCTCCAGCCCAAAAAATACAGCCTTGCACACAGACACACACACTATTTCTGGACAGGCCTCTGAGCCAGGTATGAGCAACCCCATCCCCACTCACCAAATGAGCCTGTGACTAGTCGGTGGATTCTGCCAACCAGGGTCAGACGGACAGGCAGTGCCCCCTGGCCCTCCCATGAGAGGCACAGAACTCCCAGAGATGGAAAACTTCCCATCTAAGCTGAAGCAAACACACCCCACAGGGCATCCAGGAAGGGCTTCCAAGCAGGAGGACCCTGCAATACCACCACCAGTATCGCCTGAAGGACAGCTGAGGCAGGGCCAGCCAGGGCTCCTGTCACCCTGACCCAGCCCATCCTTCACACCCGCACCAGGACCACCTGGGAGAGTGTGCAGTCAGGAGGCCAGCATGGTGCAGGACTGGAGGGCCAGGCTGGGTCCAGCCAGCTCAGTTTCAACTTCCCCAGGACAGAACTCATCAAGGGTCTGGTCCCTGGGCTGTGCCAGGCTAGGGAGGAGCTGGCCGGTCCTGGGGTCACAGCCGACTTGCCCAGGCCAGCCCCACTCCTCAGATTCCGCAGCCTGTACTCCTACCCCCACACCACAATCACGGGGATCCTGCTGCCAGACGATGCCTGTGCAGAACCCATAAGCCAGCTAGGCTCTGCTACTGGACCTGTGTGGCTTGTGACAAGGCTGCCTCCCTCCGGCACACGCCAAAGAGGAGCTGAGCCCATTATAAGACAGTCTAGTTGGCCATGAAACAGGCCATTGAGGGGTCTGGGTGGAGAGGGTAGGCGGGAGCACACACCTGCAGGACGGCAGGCAGAGCTAGTTCGGGGAACGCGACGCTGTGGGCCTGGCCCTGCAGGTACTCCAGGGTGAGGTCATACAGCTGTTCCACCAGGCCATCCTGAGGCAGCAAGGGGACAGGAGAGCGTCAGAGGACATGGAGCTCCCTCTCCAGGGCAGGGAACCAGAGGACATGCCTCCCCAGGAGTCTCAGGCTCACTGGGGTGGAGACCAAGGAGTGCCTGCTCCCCAACTCTAGGAGACGCATGAGGGTCCACACTGAGGCTTGGGGGGTCAGCTGTCCACATGTCTGCCTCCACACTCCACCTGCAAACTGACCTCAGTGCCCTCTGGCATGAGCCACCCCCACCAGGGCATTCCCCAGCCTCACCCGGTATGCCTTCTCCTGCAGGTTAACCTTGGACAGCTTCAGGACCACAGCAAAGTTGATGGGCTTGGAGCTCATGCGCCCCGGCCTCCTATTGAAGTCGACCTGCTGAAACACCTGCCCCAGGACGACATCACCCAGCCTGCTGCCTCCCACACCCCACCCGAACCCTGGGTTCCTGCCAAGCTATCGAGGCCAGAGAAAAATGGCCGATGCAGTGCCAGCCCCATGGCCCCACAGGCACCTCCCACCTCCGCCTGAGTGTGCTGGCCTTCCAGAGTTCTGGCCCCCAAGGGAGTCCCTTTCATACCAGAGTCAGGCCCTGGCCAATACACTGCACACACACTGGCACTGACCCTCTCCTAAAACTGGGCCAGGAAGCGGTAAGGATGGGTCTGGAGACCATGGGTCCTCCTGAACAGGGCCACTTCCCTGCAAAGTCTTCACCCAAGACGGTGTCCCAAGGCCTGGTCCTGGCCCCAGGGATGGATCCGCAGGAGTAACACATCCAGGGACAGGTCTCAGGCAAGGGCCCGAGTGGCTCTCCCGTGTCCTTCAGAGACTGCAGGCTGCACACAGTGACCTTGACCTTAGCAGCCCATACCCCAGCCCTGGTCTGAAGGCTGGAGGGTACCCAGTGAGGAGCAGAGTGGGAGCCATGCCTGGCCTCCTAGCCTGGGGACCCCGGCACCACCACCACCCAGGGGTGGTCGAGGGTATATCCCTGAGGGGGACAGAGAGCTGACTCTGGGGAGGCCTGACTGGGGAAGGCCACTGACAGGCAAGATGCTTCACAGCGGAACTTGGCCTAGCTCCAGATGAGGATCAGCCGTAAGGGGAGAAATAACAAAAGGGTCCCTGGAGAGCACCGCCCCTTCTCTAGCCTGGCTCGGCCTCAGGGTCGAGGGCAGGTGACTTTGCACAAAGGGCTGCTCTCAAGCCGCCTTCTCACCCAAGCAGGGAGACAAGGCAGGGACTTCCTGGAGGCTGAGCACTTCGCTTTTGCCTCTGGTTTGTTTTCTCTTTGACGAGAGGCCTGAACCCTGGTCTGAGAGGTTGTGGGAGCTCAGCTTCAACAAGCCAAGGCAGGGGTCAGGAAGAGAGCTGCAAGAGCTGCGCCCAGGAAGCAGAAGGGGCCCTCAGGAGCCGAAGGGCAGGGAGGGGCAGATGGACAGATGCCCAAGGCTGGCCTGCAAGGTGGAAGGCACACAGCAGGACGCCAAGCCGGCAGCCTCCAGGGTCAGAGGTCATCGAAGGGGCGTGGGTATTTCCAAAGGACACTTGTAAGAGCACAGAAATGCAACACCCCTGCCTCAGGGACACTAGACAGCAACGCTCCTGGGGCTCCCATCCCTGCACCCCTCGGGAGGGAGGTGCAGCGCACAGCCCTGGCCACATGGAGACGCTGCGTTGGGTATCCACTGGGTGGTGCTGAGGCTGCCCTGATGGGAATATGAATCCTGAGTATATGGTGGGCTGGAGCCTAGCCCCCAGCGGATTTCTCAGCTTTGGACCACAGCCCTGCCCTACCTGAGCCACGTGCCCATGCAAACACACAGTCACACATACACACGTGCACAGGTGTGCATACACAAACACACGGGTGCTCAGAGAGCACACAGCTGTGGAAGCAGGCCTGGGCTTCTGCCCCAGATCCCCTGCTCACTCCCATCTTGGGCAAATGCCTATATGGGCCCAGCTCCGCGTTCTGAAGCCAGCACCCTCGGGCAGGCCCAGCCCCTCATGGCCACTCCTGGCCACCAGCAAGTGCAGCCAACCGGGAAGGGAGCAAGTGCTGAGCACGCCAGCACGCGGGAGAGTCACCCCATGTCCCCTGGCAGTCCGCAGTGCAGGAGGCACCTCCAAAAGAGGCGCGGCCCCGCCCTGCACCTGCCCACTCACCTCGAGGAGGAATGGCAGCACTGGGATGAAGGTGCCGGTGCTCTCCGAGAGCAGCGTCAGGGTGCGCACACAGTGCATGCGCAGCGGGTAGAAGCGGGCGGTGGGGACCAGCCTGGGGCACAGGAAGCGGCAGTGAGCAGAGGCCCCAGCCTGAGACCACCCTCCAAACCAGCCTCATTCTCCTGACCCAGCTGCCACTGCCCCTCCCCACCCAGGGGGTCCAGCCTCAGAAGAACCCCTCCCTATCACCTGTCAGGGCCAGGGGCCACCCTGCCCTACTGAAGTCCCGCCGCACTTCAAGCCCACCTCCTGGGCTCAGGAGGGTGGGGGCATGCCCACCCAGGGTTTGACCTAATCCCACCTTAACTGTGGGGGTGCTGTTTCTTCAGGCCTTTGCTTCCTCCTGCTCCCCACTTGCATGGCTCCCCCTTCAGGAGCCCAGGAGTGACCCTCCTGGCTGCTAGGACTCCTCCATTCTCTACTCCCAGACACACCATGCCACACCCACCGACCAGGAACACCAGGCTGATACACCCAAACTCCCTCCAGACTAACTGGGCACCCTCTACCCAGCATCCCCTAGAATACATGTGCTGCACCCAGCAGTTGCCCCGACCTGGGGCATTCTCTAGTGCAGGGTCCTGGGCTATCAGGGGCACTGCCCAGGCCCGCCTGGCCTCCAGGACCCCTCCCTGTGTAACCCTGACCTTCAGAGAAGCTTCCTATAACCTAGTCCCCAGATGCCCTGTGTACACTGGCCCTGACCCCATACAGTCTGAGTAACCTGGCTCTGTCTTCCTTTGGGGACCCTGCCTACCCAACTCACTTGATGCAGCCGATGACAACCTGGGAGAGAGGGTATATCAGGGGCTGCAGGGCTTCGCTGGGATGGATGGTGCTGAGGACGCGGCCCCACAGGCAGAGGCAGTGCACAAATTGCCAGTTGTACACTGACTGGTAGGTCTCCTGGGCAGAGTGAAGGCCACGTCTGGTCACCCCAGATATATCTCGGGAGGGCCCAGTTCCCATCAACCACTGTGCGCACAGGGTCCCAGCCTGCCAACCCCCTAATCCTACCCACTGGCCCTCAGAGCTGCCCCCACCCTCCACCTACTCCCACAGCCCCCACCAACATGCTGGGTGGTCCCTCCCAAGAGACAAGGGCTTCCGGGATGCCCCAGACCCTTTGCTGGGGCAGGCTCCTAGCCGGCGCACACCTTCTTCCGTGTGGTCATGGCATTGCGCAGGTGGACAGCGAGCTGGCGGATGTACAGGAAGGCGTGTTGGTAGGCAACACCTGTGTCCAGGGCAAGCAGCTCTGTCAAGGTCCGCTGCATGAAGCTGATGAGGGGCAGGGCACTGGGGGAGGTGAACTTGCAGTTCCTCACATACGTGATGTACATTTGCTGCCGGAAAGACCTGGTCAGAGCCGTGTCCAACTCCGATGTACCACCAGAAACCTGGACCTTTCCCCTGCAGCCCGCCTGAGCCTGCTGCAGACCCCTGCCCCTGCTCAGCACCTGCTCCCCGGGCCCCCACTGCTGCTCATCCTCCTCAGGGGGGTGCCCGCTACTTGGGGCACAGAGTCTGCAGTGCAGAAAGGAGAGGTCCAGGTACCTGGAAGGGCAGGTACCAAGGAAGGGCGAGCCACAACGTGAACACCCAGGGGATGGGCGAGGGGACCCTGAGGGACTGGAGGCAGAAAGGCTGGGAAGCCCTGCTGAGGCCAGGCCTATAAAGGGGGGACCAGAGGGTTCCTGTGTGGAGCAAGCCACACCAGGCCACACCAGAGCTGGGCAGCAGGGTCCCTGTCCCTTGCCATACCCAGTGTCCTTACCCACGGAAAGAACAGCTATGCAGAGCAGCCCACATGGAGCTCCAGGGGGCCAAGGGCTGCCATTCCTCATTCCCGACCCCATCCCCCACTTCCCAGAGAGGAGACCATGCCGAGGGCCCAGTTCTGCCCTGAACCACAGTGCCAGCATGGGGTGCCGACCAGAGGCAGCTTGCCCCGTCCTCAGGCAGACCCTCTGCCTAGAGCAGACTCGGGGGCACTACAAGCAAGAGGCCCCAGACCTGCTACCTTGAGGACGGGGCTCAGGAGCACATCCTTCCTGTGCCGGCACACTCTGACGAGGACCAGGAAGGCCAGCACGCGCAGCGTCTCCTCGCCGGTGCTCCACAGGGCCACCATCCTCTGCAGAGGGTGAGACACCACTCCTGCCCCAGGTGCCCCAAGCCCTCTGGAGGCTCCTGGGGTCCTGCAGGGAGAAAGCCCTTCCCCTCACACCTCAACGGGAGCCATGGGTTAGAACTCTGTTAAGGAGAAACAAAAGCATACGCAGAACACACCCCCGCCCCCCAGGGCACAGCACCCAGAAAATCACCTCTGGCAAGGGGTGGGGACATGGCTGAGGGCAGCTACATGCCCCCAATCACGCCACCACCGGGAGGGCCCGCGCACCTTGAGCAGTATGCGGCACTGCTTGGGGAAGGTCAGGTAGTAGAGCACAGAGCTGCTGATGTGCCGGAGGACGGCAGCTGCCACTGTCACCTCTGCTACACAGGCCACCAGCTGGGGAGGCAGGAGGGGTTGGTATGGGCAGGGACCGTCAGTCCAGGACACAGGAACGGTGGGACCACTGGGCATGGCCAGGCCACCCCCCCAGCCAGAAATGCACCTGTGTGACTGAGCTCAGGTAAGCCTTGACATCCAGCCGGAGCCTCCCCCACCGTGGGCTGGCAGACGGCTGCGGCACCCTGCAGAGAGGGGACCACACCACCTGCGTGAGCCATGCTGCCCAAACATGAGCCACTGGGTGTGAAAAATGTCCCATCAGTGCAGTGTCCAAGACACGGGGCACAGGGGCCTGAGGGAGACCCCAACCCATTTCTCCCCATGCGAACTTCAGGGAACCCAAACAGCAGGACCAACACAGGATGGACCAGGACGCCCTGAGGTGCCCAAAATGATGCCTGAGGAGGCACGACCCCAGGCCCCATAGGCCACCCCACCTGGCTAGAGGGCCGAGAACAACCATCATCTTTGTCTGAGCTGGCCGTGACCCCCAGTCTGACCCCCAGTCCCCAGAGGGACGCCCAGCCTCCAACTCCCTCCCGCAGACCTCAGGCACGCAGGGCGCCCTCCCTCCCTGAAGTCTGACCCAGGCTATCACAGGCTGGTTTTCTCTGGCCCATACATGCTCTTCAAAAGCCAAGCCATCCACATTTATGACTTAGCTTCACCAAAAATCCAGACTCTGGCCTCTTTTGAAAACCTGAAAGACCTGGCTGTCGTGGCTGACATTCCTGAAGTTTCTCAGAATGCAGCACACAGTACATGCTCATTGAAACTTGCTGAAACATATGACAGAATAAAGGGCAGGAGCCCCTGAAAGCCTCCCCATCAGCTGACACCAGCTGTCCTGCACCCGTAGCCAGCGGCCCTGGCCCAGGAGGCAAGGCCACCCACTTTCTCCCCATCAGAAGCCTGGCCCATGCCAGCACCACTCACTCAGTGCCTGTCCCCTCCTCCCCTCAGCTTCCCCACCCCTTCAGACAGGGTCTCCTCCCCATGGCAACTCCCCCCTGGTACAGCAGTCCTTTCCTGATGGCCACCACCAGACCCAGGTACTGCCATCTCCGAGCCCACTGCTTCCCCCAGCTCCCCAGACCCCTTCCTAGAGATTTCTTTCTTCTTCAAAAGGTATCTGGGGTGAGTCTGGCCCTCCAGGCCTCTACTGCCTCCAGGTCATGTGGCTGCATGGCCCTCCCAGCCACAAAGTGACCCAGATTCTTCTAAATGTCTGCCGTTCTTCTCTCCTCTCTGAAGACCTATCACAGGCTTCTCAGCACAAGCTGCCTCTAACAAGCTAACGCTCTCAGATCCAGCAGCCATGAGGCCCCAGCCTGCAGACAGATCCACACGCCTTCTACAGAACACGGGCAAGGGCAGTGAGCAAGTTACCCATCTAGAGAGAAGAGAAACCTGGCAACGTGGGGGCGCAGAGCTAAGCACACACTCTGTGGCACCAGAGAAATTCTAGTCAGAGAATTTCCTTTTTCAGAAAGGAGAGATAGGAATAAGGGTGGGGACCCCAAAATGGCCTGAGTACCCTGCTTCCCAGGAGCCCTGCAAAGAGTCTGGCTCTGCCTCAACAGCCCTCTGCGCCAGCTGGATCTCGAGGGGGTGCCAGGTCACAAGGCCTCTGCCCTCCCCGGTGCACAGCCCTGACCATGTCCCCGCCATCCTACCCTCTTCCTCTTACCTGCCGTTCTCCTTTGGGACTTTTCCAAACAGCAGCTTCTGGAGGCAGCCAAGGAGGTCTCTGGTGCAGAAGGTGACCAGAGCATTGAATGCTGCAAGGAGGAGACCGCAGGTGCCACTCACAGGACAGAAGATGGAATGGAGGGCATGCACCCTGGGTCCCCTCGCCCCAGCTCACCAGCACTATCTGTGACCTGGAATCTCCTGGCCTCGGAAACTTCTTGGTCTCCTTGGGTGGTGGCTACAGCTGCTCGAAACGCCTGCACAACTTCGTGGAACAGCTTTGGAGTAAGGTGCTGCTAATAGGGCAAGAAGACCCAGAATGTCGATGGCACAGCCATGGTGATGGACACAGGAGCCTGCTCTTTGACAGAAAGGCACTGCTCGCTCACATTCTCAGATACAGAGCAGAAGTGGGAGCAGGGCCACTGAGCCACGTGCAAGGAACAAAAAGAGCAGAGTCCTGAATCCTTCCAGAACGGCAGGGAGCCTAGCTCAGAGACCATGGGGGAGGGGCGGAGGGTCCCAGATGTGCAATGGCCAGCTCCAAGTGGTACCACAGCAAGACCCTTGGAAGAAGGGCCCTGGCTCTACCAACTGCAAAGGCACAGAGACTACATCCTGCTTACAATGGATGCTGGGGAACAGGAAGCCCAAGAGAGAAACTGAGAGGAAGGGAGCAGTCAGAGGCCCCAGAATCTCTGACTAAAAGAGAATGTAATCCCGGAGTCTCCAGTGCACCTTGTAATAAGCCTCTTTTGTGCTGAACAGGAGACCAGTGCTCAGAGATGGGCTCCTCCCACTTGCAAAGCCCCAGGGAACTGAAATGAGGTGGGGAAAGAATCCTAAGGGGGGCTGTCCATCTACCCACCCTATGCCATTTCTTACCTTTGCCGCCTGCTTCCACCTGTCAACCATGGCGAGGGTCACAGGGGCCAAGTCCCTCTTCTTCCCTTTTGGTCCTCTGGGGACGTTGTCCTCATCGTCTTCACCTTCCCCCTCCTCACTCACTTCCTGCACCAGACACAGAGGGCTGGGCTAGAGCAGGACGCAGAGGCCACAGGGGTGCCCCCTGCGCTCTGCCCGACTCTGCCCAGGCCCTCACTTCCAGCACATCTGGCAAAGAGTGGAGCTGCTCCTCTTCATCCTCAGAGCTGTCTGAGTCACTGAAGTTCAGCAGGCTCTGGTCATTCTCCTGGAGGAACCTGTAGAACTCTGGGTCTTTGTCTTTCAGCCGAGAGAGCTGGTCCTTGTGCTCTGACGCTCGGCCTTTATGCTGCCTGAGGAGGTGAGAGGTCATCAGGTCCAATGGGCAGGCACAGCCATGGGGGTTGAGCGGGTGTGAGTTTTTCCCTATCCTTCATGCTGTCAACTTGCCAGCCTCCTCAGAGAAACTACCTGGCTTAGCCTGCTCCCTCCACAGCCACTACCACCCATCAGCAGCAGGATTTCCAGGGTAAGTTTTCGACAGCTCTCTCCCCAACCCCAAACTCACACACCCAACAGCTTCTCCATCCGTACGTCTCAACACGGGCAGTCTAAACCCAACACCTAAGGCGCTAAACTTGTGCTTCCCACAAACTTGTTCTGCCCATACCAGCTATACCTCAATTATAACTACCTATCCAGGTAAGAAATAATCTGTCATTCACTCCCACCATACAATGTCATGTCATCTCATCAGGAAAACCTTCTAAACCCCTCACGCCTCCTCTCAAACCAGCACCACCTCTCAATTCTCTACATTACTAAAGTGGTCTCCTCGCGCCTCCATCCCTCCGGCCTACACCTGTTCTGCACACAACCACCCAGGGAACCGTTATGTGTCCCATGCCAATACTTCACCACTCAAAACCCAGAGATAACTGTCCGTTTCCCTGGGATGCCTCCCCCGGCCCCTCCCCATCTGTCCAGGTTCATCTCCCGCCAGTCTCCCCCTCCTTCTCCACCCAAGGCCTGCTCCCACTTGGCCTTTGCGGGACCTGCCTCCTTGAAACGCGGAAACGCTTGCCCTCTGCCAGCACGGCTTACTGCCTCAGGGCTTTGCCCGATCACCACCTCCTCAGATGGCCTTCTCCACGCCACTCAGCTCAGCCGCAGGCGCCCCCAGCTATGCTCCCTGACCCTCCAACCCCTTCTGCTTCTCCTTTGTGTCCACTTACACACTGCGACTCACCCAAGACTGAGCAAACTCTCCTAGGGCAGAAAGGGCCCGGCATGTTACCCACGCGCCGCGATCATCTAAAGAAAGGCCTGGCACAGAAGCAAGCACTCATTACATGCGGCACGAAAGGATGAAGGGGCCGGAGGCCCCCAAGGGCAGCTCCCTCGTGGGGCGGTGGGCGGGGCGACGACGGGGGTTCCGCTCACACACGTCCCGTGGGAGCCGCTCCACTCACCTGGCCGAGGGGCTCCCGACCGGCCTATCCGGGCTCCACGCGGCTCCACATGCGGCCCGCGGCTCCGCTTCGAGGACTCCTTCGGGCTCCGATTCGGACTCGGTATCAAAGCCCGAGGCCAGGAACTCGTCCACCGTCAGTTCCGCCAGACGCCTGCGGGTCATGACTCTCAGCCAGCCTGGCGTGACCCAGCCCCGCCGCCCCAGGAACGCGGAGCGGCGCGAGGAGAGCCCCCCTGGACAAAGCGCCCCGCAAGGAGGCTGAATCGGTCCTCAGATCGCCACTTACCGCTTGCGGCCCCGCGCCGCCGCCATGACCGCCAGCCCGCAGCGTGCGTCCCACTTCCGGCCCCAGAATACCTTGCACTGCCCGCACTTCCTTCGGACTGGCCCCGCCCCTGCCCCGCCCCGTCGCGCGCGGCCAGGCGGCTCTACGGTTCTCCGACCGTGGCTCCGGTGGCATCCAGGCGGGAGGGCACGTTCGCATCGTCCTTGCTGAGGGCGGCGTTGGTGGCACGCGGGATGCGGGTCCTGTCTTAAGCCAGGTTCAGTCACGGCTCCAGCACGCGACGCCGGGTACCAGGCGTAGAGCTAGGGCATCGGCAGGACCACAGAGGCAGGTATTCCACGTGCCGCTCACGAGTCGGTATCCTCCGTGAGCGGCGGTGGTGATCTATGGACCTGGGCCAGACCGGACCGGGGGTCACGGCAGTCCCTCATCCCCGCCCACAGCCTCCCCGGGACTGTGTAAACACGCGCCGGTTAGGATGTCAGTTCATCTGCAGCAGACAAATGCATCCCCGGGGAAAACGCGATAGAAAGGACTCCTATTCAAAGAGCTCTTCAAGTCAATAAAAGGCTGATGGAATAGTAGAAGCGGCTATGCTATAGGGGGGCAGTTCGCCAAAAGACAAATGACGCCCTGGTAGCCGGGCCTGTCCCGCCCAGACCACTGAGAGACGCTTCCATTTCCGTGGACAGCCCTCCGCGCTCCTGTGCTGGTGGGAGGGAGCCAAACGATAAACAGATCCGCGCGCTGTTATTGAAGACAGTTTGGCCAGATAAACCTGAAAGTGCTAGGCCTGATACTTCAGTCCAGCGAGAGCTCCGCCGGGAATTCACCAAAGTATACATCTGCCTAAGTCCATAACACGGGACGGGGCAGGGGTAGCCACATTCCCTCTGCCCTTCCCGTGGGGACAGCCAGTAGGTACAAAAACCTCTCCGGGGCTGGAAAGTTGCCCTTGGGAAGAAAGAAGTTAGGGAAGCCAGCCTACGATCTCCTTCCCTCCCCGCAACCCGCCTAGGGCGCCGGTCCGTGGGTCTGGACCATCAGATCCCACGACAGGGCATGCCACAGCCCGGGGGAGCCGGCGAGCACCAGGCAGGACCCCCAGGACGTGTGGCACTCCCCCGCACCAGCCGCCCCGCAGCCAGCGTCCAGATCAAGGCCTGGTACTTGACGGAAAGGAGCGGGTTTGTGGAGCGACAACAGCAAAGACCAGACGGACAAAGTGGCCTGCCTGGAGTCACACAGAGGGGAAGGCGGGGTGCGGCCTGGGACAGCACGTAGGGCCGCTGGTCCTCATCAAGCTTACGGGGTGCTAACGGGGTCGGGAGTTGGGGGGCAAGGAAGGTCCGGGAGGCTTCTTGGACACAGGCAGCGGGCGGGGCCCGGAGTGCGTCCTGGAGGAGTTGGCAGGCGTGGCGCGCGTGACTGGGAGGATTTGAGGGCTACGTTGTTGTGTCCCCGAAGCGCGCGGGAGTGCAGGAGGCGGGGCGGGCGGCGCCGAGAAACAGCGGCTGCGGGCAGGCGGCGGGAGCCTGGGACGCGGTGCTGGCCGCCACCGCCGAGCAGTCCTCCAGCAGTCGTGCGTCCGACTGTCTGCGCGTCCTCCGCGGGTCGGCGGCGGGTCCCGCGGCCGAGCCCATGCAGCCGCGCAGCGAGTGCCCGGCCGGCAGGACGCAAAGCCCGGAGAACGGCAGCCCGGAGCCCGGGCCCGACACGCCGCCGCCGCCGCCGCCGCCGCCGCCGCCCCAGCCTCCGGCGTGAGTGGGCCAAGGGCCCCCGATTGTGAGCAGGGCCGAGGGCCGAATGGGTCCGGGAAGGAAGAGGGGCCGGAGGGGCGCGCGGCGACCCTGGCAGGCTGCCCGGAGGGGGCGGCCTCGGCCCCGGGCAAGCTCGGCCAGCCCGGGGAGGGGCCGGCGCCTCACCCCCGTCCTCGGTGTGTCCCGCGCGCCCAGCTACGCGGGACAGGGCGTCCAGAGGCGGCTGCCCCGAGGCTCTGTCCTCCCTCGCCGCTCTTGAGTTCCGACTGGGGCGCTCAAAGACTCAGGCGGCTAGTCTGCAGGGTGGGGGGCGGCAGAGGTGAAGCGGCCGCTTCGGAGGGTCAGGTGAGGTCACGCCTGCTGGCGGGGCAGGAGTGCGCTTCAGAGCCGCCGACAGCGTTGCCGCTTTCACTTTGTGCATTTCCTGTGAGCCCAGCCGATGCTGAGAACACTGGGCTCCAACGGGGGCACGGGAAGGGTGGCCGGCAACGACCAGAGGAGAGCCTGCACCCTAGGAGGGCAGCGGCAGCCGGGTTCTCACGGGGGCCTCAGGCTGGGGGAACCTGGGTAGAGGAGAATGTGATGTCTGCAGAACTGTGGTGGCAGAGGACACTGCACAGGGTCAAAGGCTGGCTTCAGATGCCTGGTATGCACTCGTGCTGGGAGCAGGTGCCAAGTGGAGTCTCCCTGGGGTCCAGGCATTCTCCCTGAAGGGAGGGAGCAGAGTGGGGTGGGGCCTAGGCAGCCTAGGAGGTCCTAGGGGCCTCTGGGCCTTGATGGAAGCCACCTATGAGCTGCTGCGGGGAGGATGGCTTCCTGGGTGCCCGGCCTTGCCCAGGGTCTCAGGGGTGGGTAAGCAGCTCCCTGCAGAGCACATCCTGACCTGCTGTCCCTCTGCAGCCCTGAGCCAGAGCGTTCCCGCGCCCGGCAGGCCCGGCCCACTGCCCCCATGGAGGGTGCCCTGCAGCTGCTGAGCCGAGATGGCCACACTGTGTCCCACAACTCCAAGCGGCACTACCACGACGCCTTTGTGGCCATGAGCCGCATGCGGCAGCGCGGCCTGCTGTGTGACATCGTCTTGCATGTGGCGGCCAAGGAGATCCGAGCGCACAAAGTGGTGCTGGCCTCCTGCAGCCCCTACTTCCACGCCATGTTCACAAGCAAGTATTGCCCCTTCAGCCTGGGCCCTCGGGATGCTCTGTGAGTCTCCCACAACAGGGAGCAAGTCTGACCCGCTGTCCCCACAGATGAGATGAGTGAGAGCCGCCAGACACACGTGACGTTGCATGACATCGACCCCCAGGCTCTGGACCAGCTGGTGCAGTTTGCGTACACGGCCGAGATTGTGGTGGGCGAAGGCAACGTGCAGGTAAGGCCGCCTCACCGTTCACGTCCCACGCCTCTGCAGGCCTCGTGCTTCAGCTGTCCTCATGTCCCCGTGTCCTCCTGTCCCTCTCCTGTCTCTCAGTTCCTCACACCCACGTCTCTGGCCCTCTGCCCCAACTTGCCCCACAGACCCTGCTCCCAGCTGCCAGCCTCCTGCAGCTGAATGGCGTTCGCGACGCCTGTTGCAAGTTCCTACTGAGTCAGCTTGACCCCTCCAACTGTCTGGGCATCCGGGGCTTCGCTGACACGCACTCATGCAGCGACCTGCTCAAGGCAGCACACAGGTACGTGCTGCAGCACTTCGTGGACGTGGCCAAGACGGAGGAGTTCATGCTATTGCCTCTGAAGCAGGTAACATGCCAGCCAGGGTGCAGCCTCAGCCCTGACCGAGTCCCTGGACTCCAGATCAAACCCTTGGACCCCTGCCTCCATCATCTGGGCCTTATTCCCAGCCTCTGACTCACTTCTATCTCCACTGTTCTTCCCCTGGGTTCCCTTGCTCTGTTCCCATTTTCTGACCTCACCCAAGCCTTCCGCCTTTGACCCTATGACCCCTTCCTGTTCTGACCACATCCCTGCCTACTCCCCCAAGTACCTGTGGACCTAGTCCCTTAGGAACTGGAACTGTGGCTCCCCAGCCTACTTGGCTCCTCCTCATAGGAACACTGGGGCCCCCATTGTACTCTCCCTCCCAGGCACCTTCAGGGCTCTCTGGGCCCCCAGACCCTTCCCAGATCTCAGGCCTGAGGGTCCCCATCCCCAGGTGCTGGAACTGGTCTCTAGTGACAGCCTGAACGTGCCTTCGGAGGAGGACGTCTACCGGGCTGTCCTGAGCTGGGTCAAGCACGATGTGGATGCTCGAAGGCAGCATGTCCCACGGGTGAGGCCAATCCCTGGGGCTGCCACCATGTCTGGGGGGACTCAGTAGCTGGGAACCTGGGTGTGCCTGGGTCCTTCCATGTTCAGAGACATGCCCCCCACCGCCCTCCCCAACAGGGGGGATGCAGACACGTGTCTTGGGAAGGACCCAGAGTATCTGAGGGTGTTCTCGGGCCCAGGGCCTGCCACCTGACTGTGGCACCCCTGCACCCCAGCTGATGAAGTGTGTGCGCCTGCCCCTACTGAGCCGGGACTTCCTGCTGGGCCATGTGGATGCTGAGAGCCTCGTGAGGCACCACCCTGATTGCAAGGACCTGCTCATCGAGGCCCTCAAGTTCCACCTGCTGCCCGAGCAGAGGGGCGTTCTGGGCACTAGCCGCACACGGCCCCGGCGCTGCGAGGGCGCCGGTCCTGTGCTCTTTGCCGTGGGTACGCCCACCTGTCCTGCCTCTCATGCCCCTGCTCTGTGCCTTCTCTCCATGAGTCCAGCACAAGCCCACCCCACCCTACCTGGTCACATCCAGTCACATCCAGCGCCCACCCCACAACTGCTCCTCTGTGCTCTTCTGACCCCATACAGTATGACACATTCACCAACCTCCATCCCCAACCACTCTGGAACCCCCATGTCATTGACTTTGAGCTGTGCTAAAGTCCCCTAGCCCATTGCCTCCCTGGGCCCCTCACCCTACACCATCACTGCCCCCTCCCTAGGTGGTGGGAGCCTGTTTGCCATCCATGGGGACTGTGAAGCCTACGACACACGCGCTGACCGCTGGCACGTGGTGGCCTCTATGTCCACACGCCGGGCTCGGGTGGGCGTGGCAGCAGTTGGGAACCACCTATATGCAGTGGGCGGGTAAGCATGGAGGTTGGTCTCTGGTAGGGCTCAGCATGTGCCCTCTGGGCCAGCCCTGACCAGCCCCGGACCCCTCCCCAGTTACGATGGGACTTCAGACCTGGCCACCGTAGAGTCGTACAACCCTGTGACCAACACCTGGCAGCCTGAGGTGTCCATGGGCACAAGGCGCAGCTGCCTGGGTGTGGCTTCCCTGCATGGCCTCCTGTATGCAGCCGGTGGCTACGATGGGGCCTCCTGCCTCAACAGGTAGTAGCTGGGTTCAGGGCTGGGTGGCCTTTCGGGGTTGGCTCAGCAGCAGGTGTGACTGCATCAGGACTACAGAGGTCACTCTGAAGGAGAGCAAAAAGGGACCTTGTCTGACTCAAGTCACCAGAGTCCCCTATGCCTCTTCATCTGGGCCAGCCCAGTTGCCCCTTCTTTTCATCTCTGGGGTCCTTCCCATCAATCCAGGGGCTGGGCGCAGGTGGATACTTCTCTGGTATCGTTCAGGCAGCCAGTGGCCTGTGCCCACCCAACAGGCCCTGCCTCTTATTCCAGTGGGGTCAGTTCCTGTGACTGCCAGCACGGAGTTCTAGTCATTCCACAGGGAAGGGCAGGTCCTGGGGCCAGGGCAGCCTTTCTGCCACCACTCAAGGTCGGCGGCATTTCTGGCGTCCACAGTGCTGAGCGCTATGACCCTCTGACCGGAACATGGACGTCTGTCGCTGCCATGAGCACCCGGAGGCGATACGTGCGTGTGGCCATGCTCGGTGGGTGACAGGGCCTGTTTTGTGAAGTGCCCACCCTGGAGATGCCACACACAGCGGGCACACCACGGGTGTGTTGACTCCCCACAGATGGGCACCTGTTCGCCGTGGGTGGTTATGACAGCTCATCGCATCTGGCCACCGTGGAGAAGTATGAGCCCCAGGTGCGAAACACACCCTAACCACACGTGTTCCTCTTCCTGTGAGCCTCTCCTTTTTTCTTTTTTCTTTTTTTTTTCGGTTGCTTGTCTTTTTAATTGAAGTATCCCAAGAGCCTCTTGAGTTCTCACCCAGAGGGTCAGCTCTCAGCATCGCACCCCTGTCCTGCTGACCCCCGTCCTGGAGCAGGGTCTGCGCGGTGGAGGTGCAGGGAGGCTGGTGACGGCTCTGCCTGGGCCCTCCCCTGCAGGTGAACGCGTGGACGCCGGCGGCCTCCATGCTGAGCCGACGCAGCTCAGCAGGAGTGGCAGTGCTGGAGGGGGCCATGTACGTGGCCGGCGGCAATGACGGCGCCAGCTGCCTTAACTCCGTGGAGAGGTACAGCCCCAAGGCCGGCGCCTGGGAGAGTGTGGCGCCCATGAACATCCGAAGGTGCGCCGGGCCTCACTCCGCGGGCTGGGAGTGTCCCCCTGTCACCACCACAGTGGGTTTGCCCCGTCCAGGGACTGACATGTGGCCCAGGGCTTCACCCTGGGTCAGGCGCCGGCTCCTCCCCACATCCCTGTCTCCACCTTCCAAGGGGCCCAGCAGCCCTGTGGCCCCGCCCCCAGAGGCCCCTCCCACGGCCCCGCCCCGCAGCCCCTGTGGCTCCCCCTGCGGTGCCTGCTCACCGCGGCCCCTGGCCCCCAGGAGCACGCACGACCTCGTGGCCATGGATGGATGGCTCTATGCTGTTGGGGGCAACGACGGCAGCTCCAGCCTCAACTCCATCGAGAAGTACAACCCAAGGACCAACAAGTGGGTGGCCGCGTCCTGCATGTTCACGCGGCGCAGCAGCGTGGGCGTGGCAGTGCTGGAGCTGCTCAACTTCCCCCCGCCGTCGTCGCCCACGCTGTCCGTGTCGTCCACCAGCCTCTGACCTGGCGCGGACTGCCGAGGCCCGCCCTGCAGCCTCCCACATGCCTTAAGCCCCACGGGCGGGGTCCTAGGCCCCCACCGGGGGCGTCCTGTGCCCTCTGCCCACGTCTCTGTACGTTGAGGCCGCCTGTGTCTGTGTCCGCTCATCGGTGTTCTGTGTATGCTGTTTATTTATTCATTATTTATTGATCGGAGCACTGCGCAGCCACCCATTTACACGTTTACCCTTGGAGTGTCCTGTGTCTCTGGGACCAAGCTGCCGTCTGGGCTGTCTTCCCACCCCGCTGGGGGCGCCAGGGAGCTGTAGGGGTGGAGACCCCTCAACCTAGGAATGATGGGGATGGACACACACTGAAGTGGGTCAGGGGCCAACTAGGACTCTACAGACCTGGAGGTAGGAGCGGGCAGATGCAGAGCGACCCAACAGGGTTAGTTGGGGACTTTCTGAGCCGGTGCAGACGCCCCGAGCCTGCGCTTTGCACGTCACCCTTGCCTCACCCAGCCAGTCACGCTCCCAGGGAGGGCCTGAAGCTGGCTTCCTTCTTGTGAGTGTGGTGGCTTTTCTGGACCCTGCACTGAACTGGGCACACGTGTCACAGACCCCACGCAGCAATATGAGCCAACTTGAACAATAAACACATTTCTTGGGCTCTGTGGGCCTGAGGCTGAGCGTCCATCTCCCCGCTTCAAGGTCCTGTCTGGGGTGACCAGGAAGGCCGGGGGACAGGTGTATAGCTGGGCTGGGATGCTGAGTTGCCATTCGAGGCCTTTGAGGCACATCCAGGTGGGGCAGGGCAGCAGCGTCCTGGACCAGCACCCAGTCATGAGCGTGGTTTGCTGTCAGCCTCGTCCTGGGAGACCCCCGTGGCCGGTGTCTCACCCCAGGTTCTGGGGAGTGGGGCGTGTACAACATTTCCTCTGCCTCACCTAACAGTCCTGGGCATACCTGGGAGGGTTGGGGCCTCCTTCCTGCATTCTGGTTAAGTCTCGGGGACCCTGCCCTTGGCCAGTGATGAGGGTCGGCCGAGGCATCAGAGGAGTCTGGGGCAGGGTCCTGGCTTCCCCTTCCCCAGGGTTGTGAGCTCAGCTGCTGAAGCACTGAGAGCAAGTACACACCCCCTTACAGTCAGTGGTGACTCACAGACTGGCATCTAGGTGGAAACAGGATGTGTGCGCACACAGCGAAGGGGGTCTGCGGGCTCATAGTGTTCGGCACCGGGCACCCCAGCTTGAGTGCAGGCAAGCCGTGTACTCACAGACCGGGCCCTCTGGGCCCCTCCTGTACAGGCTGGAAGCTCTTGGCTGGACCAGGGGGCAGTCTTTCCTGCCCCAGGGTGCCTGGTAGGCGGGGAAGACCCAGGGCAGAGAACTGAGAAGCCGGGGCCCAGGGGGCGGTCCTCCTGGAAAGGCCCCGCCCTTGGGAACAGGGCGAGCCTTCCCAAGGACCCTCCCTGGGAGGTGGGGCAGAAGGCTCAGGGCAGAGGGACTCAGACTGGACCTCTCCGCTCGGGCCAGCCAACACCTCCACTGATGGGGAACAGCCACTGTGTCCCCCAGGCCCCTAGGAGGCTCCGTGCCTCCTTTTCCAGAAAGCCCTCTCTGAAGGCAACTCGGTGAGGGGCATTGGGGTGTGGCCTCAGCCGCCTGGTCCCAGGGTCTCTCTCACCCTGCCTGGGGGCCAGGCTGTGAGCCCCCCATTCCCTTGTTCCCAGAGAGGATGGCACGAGGAAGCTAACTGGCCTGTTTGGCTCGGAGACCAGCCCCCACCAGGACACCACTGCCAACAAGATCTTCTACTATGTCCCTGGGACGGTGAGCGGGCAGTGGGTGTGTCCTGGCACAGGGGGCGTGGTGGTGGTCTGCGTGAGTGCGTATGCCCATCCTGTCCTCACTTGGCTTAGGGTCTTCCCTGGGTCAACCCAGGGTGGGTGAACCCAGAACGAGGGGAGGAGGTAGACTGTGCCCCGCCCTGGGAGCTCACCTGGCTGAGAGTCGAGCAGCGAATGAAACCAGGAGACACTGAGTCAGCGTGGCCGGCGAGCAGGCAGGGCGGCTCGGGCGGGCCTCCGGGAGCTGCTGTGTGGAGCCAGCACCCCAGGCGGACTGCACAGGGGGGCCCGGTCTGCGCCACAGGCCCCGGTGTCTGCCTGCCCCTACCAGCATGCGGGACGGCGTGTCTGGGCCAAGCGTGCCCGTCTCTGTTGCTGCTGTGGCACGGGTGCTGTGTTGGTGGTATGGCTGCGAACCCCCAGCACCCTCCGTCACTCTGGGAGAGCTGGAGGCTTCAGGGTGAACAGCGAGCCAGCCTCTCACCTACTCCAGGCCGCAGTTTCTCCCAGGGGGTGTCTCCTTGACATCCACTCTGACTCATGGCACAGCAGCCTCCTGTGTCTCCCCTACCAAGGCCACACAGCAAGGATGTGGCTCCCAAGCAAATGCTAGGCTACCTGTTAAGCTGAATGCCATCTCTACCCAGCCTGCCCAGTTCCTGTGGAGTTAAGGACCAGTCAGCTCAGGGAGAGACACCCAGCCCTTTGCGCCGACATGGCTGACACTGGGTTGGGGCCCCAGGATGTGAGGGAAGTGACCCCCCTCCAACTTTTGGCCCCAGGGGCATCTGGGAGCCGAAGGGAAGGAAGAACATTTGTGACTCTGCACCAGGGGCTCTGGCCAGGGCTCCTGCCTATGCTGCTTGGCCGTCACACTATACCCTTGAGGCCTAGCAACTGGTGTGGGCTTCCAGAGCCCACCTTCCTAGGATGTTCCTGTCACGCTGTCCCCTGTCCTGCCCTGTGAGCCCCAGGAGTCCCTGTGAGCAAGTGCTAGCTTCGGAAACTGTCCTGCCTTAGAGAGGTGGGCAGGGCACTTCTGCCCAGGGCCGGGCCAGGCCTGGATGGTGTCCCACCGTGTGGCCACATCTCAGGCCTCAACTCCCTCTGTTCAGGTCCAGGACACATCCTGTGACCCTAGTGGAGTCCCATGAGGTGCGGTGGCCCCAGTGGTCCTCCCTTGCCAGGATGTGGTGGCTGGAGAGGGGAATGGCCATGTCAAACCTCTGGAGGGGGCGTCAGGGGAGTGGCCCTGTGGTGGGTTCTGTGGCTGCACATGAGCCAGCCCTGCTCAGGTCTCTGAGCTGACTCCTCCCCAGACCCTAAGGCTGAGTCCAGGCCGTGAGGTCAGCCGCATGGCCCTTCCTGATCTGTGCCCTATTTTTCATGGGTCCCATCCCGCATCATCCCCCTTACTGGGTGTGGGTGCAGGAGGCCCCACCCAGAGGCAGGGAGGCCAGGAAGCTGCGAGTCTGTCTGTTCGCATTCCAGCGCTTGCCCAAGGGCAGCTCAGCTTGGCCAGGGCACAGCAGCCCATGAGGACCCCCCTGCTGGCTCAAAGAGAGCCTGGCCCTCTCCCCAACTCATCCATGAGTCCCTAGATCTCAACTCCTCCAGCCCCAGGTCAGCGCCCATCCCCATCTTACCCCCAAGCCCCTGTTTGTAGAGGATTCTGTGTGTGCCAGGTTGGGTTAAGTGTTTGCAGGCACCAATCCCTTTTCCTTCAGCAGACAATTGTTGAACCCTCAGCACACCCCTGGCCTGTCCTAGGCCCTGGGGGTACAGAAATGGGCAAAACATACCAAACCCTGTTCTCATAGTGTTCCCATCCCTGAGACAGAGCCAGATGGCAAGACAAATACCTAAAAGATGCAGTAAGTCAAAAGCAGCTAGTGCTAAGGAGGAGATAGGAGGAGAAAGGTGTGCAGGGGGTCGGGGAAGGGTGGAAGGGTGGTAGGGTGCCCAGACAGGACTTCACAGAGGAGGTGACATCTGAGACAGGCTCTGAAGGGTGAGTGGAGTTCTGCTGAGTGGTCCAGGCAGAGGGGACAGCAGGGCAGAGCCCTGAGGCAGACATGCCCGATGTGAGGGAAGAGGACAGGGGAGGGTGCAGGCCGAGGACCCCTCAGGCTGTCGCAAGGGCCCTGGTCGTCTCTGTGAGTAAGGTTGGGGGCACTCGGTGCTGGGCTGAAGTGGCCAGTGTCTGCCCTCCAGGGCTGAGTGGACGCATTTCTTTGAGCTGCACATTTGCTGACTTGGTAGCTTGGAATAGGCCATGGTGGGTGTACATACAGCATGGATATTGACAGATGCTGTAAATCAGCAGTGCCCCCCGCCTTTTTTGTAGAACCAGGACTCACTGGCTGGCACTGAGGCAAGGGAGGGTGTGAACATCATGTCACTCAGACACCCAAAAACCCCTCTGACAGGCAGGTCTCAAGAGGTCATATAAGCATGAAACAGCTTAGGAAACAGGAAGACAAGGCTCGAAACTCCCCTGAGTCCAGACCTCACTGAATCAACCACGAGACCACCTGATAGGCTGTGTGTGTGCACTCACGTCCTCTGCTGTTTTCTGCCAAGAGTGAGGGTGTAGGGGTCTGGACCCACACGCAATGGTGCATGGGTTGTGTGTGTATGTGGGGCCCTCTCCCCCAAGCTCCGGTGCCCGCAGGACATCTCAGGCCTGGAGCGCCAGCGAGAAGGCCTGGAGCAGCCTTTCCTGAGCGTGTTCAAGACAGGGCGGTGGAGGGTGCCCGTGAGGAACCTGGGCAAGGTTGTGCACTATGCCAAGGTGCAGCTGCGTTTCCAGCACAGCCAGGTGGGCTCGGGGGACCGGCGGGGAGTGCCTGGGGGCCAGCCTGGGGCCTGCCCCGACCTTTTCAGGCCAGCAGCCCTGCTCTCCTCCAGGACACCAGCGACTGCTACCTGGAGCTGTTCCCCTCCCACCTGTACTTCCAGGCCCATGGTTCAGAAGGACTGACTTTCCAGGTGAGGGGAAATGGGCAGACTGAGGAGGCAGGGAAGAGGGAGGGAGGGTGCAGGCCCTTGGGCGGGGGTGGCCGTGGCTCAGGGGGACCCTGCTCTCCCATTCCCTGTGCCCTGGCAGGGGCTGTTACCACTGGCGGAGCTGAGTGTCTGCCGGCTCGAGGGGTCTCGAGAGCATGCCTTCCAGATCACAGGTGTGTGGGGCATGAGCAGACTGGACCCAGCAGGGCCAGAGAGCAAGGCCTACTCAGTGACAGTGGTCTCTGCAGAGCCCCGGGACTCTGGCTGGACCTGAGCTCATAAAGGTCCTGGCTTTTCCTCCAGTGAGCACAGGTGCAGCACCGGGCTGGGTGGAGGCAGCAGCTTGGGGCATTCAGAGCTGTGCAGGGGCCACAACAGTAGGTCCCAGGGTCCATGGAGAGCCCTTTGGGTGGCCTTTCCTGCAGGCTGCCCACCCAGCCCACTCTGCCCATCCAACCACAGGCCCGCTGCCCGCCCCCCTTCTCGTGCTGTGCCCCAGCCAGGCCGAGCTGGGCAGCTGGCTCTACCACCTGGAAAAGCAGATGGCTCTTGTAGGAGCGAGGCACTGCCACACAGCACCCCCACAGGTCAGTGCCGGGAGCCCCTGCGCCCCTTTCCCATCCCCACTTCCTCCGCTGTTCCCTGACCCCCTTTCACCAGGGGCCCCCTGAAGACGAGCTTCCTGGGACTCTACAGCATAGGCTGAGCCGGCTGCACACAGTGTTGGGGCGCCCAGCGGTGGGCAGCGCCATCTGCGCCTCCAGGGTCAAGCTGCAGCATCTGCCCTCACAGGTGGGCTGGGGACACGGGTGAGGAGGCCAGGGAGGGGAATGGGTACAGGCCAGTCGAGCCTCCACTTTGACTTTCGACCCCCTCCAGGAACAGTGGGACCGGCTCCTCATCCTGTACCCAACTTCCCTGGCCATTTTCTCTGAGGAAGCAGATGGGCTTTGCTTTAAGGTGGGTGCCCCACACATGGGCCCGCCCCAAGGAGGTGCCCTGTGTGCGGAGGTGGGAGGGGGCAGCAGCTCAGGAGGAACCTGTATTTCGGGGCCTGTTGGGACAGAGCACATGGGCCCCGCCCTCCAGCCTGCCTCTCTGGTCAGCTCTGATGTGGGCAAGGAGGGGCCGGTGCCCTGGCGCCTCCTAGCACCCTAGAAGGGGCAGATGACCCTCACCTGTAGCAAGTGGCTCCTGCGAGGCCATCCTGTGCTGGTGCCTGGTGTCCCCGAGGGGTGCTGTGCCTCTGAGCGGGCATCTTCCAGGTGCCTGAGGGGCATGTGTGTGCGTGTGTGCACGTGGAGGCCCTCGTGGGCTGGAGCACATCTGCCACGTGCATCAGGGCATCCATCTACTTTGGGTGCAATCGTGACCTTCAGCCTCTAGGAAACACGCATGGGGGCTCCCCGAATACCCTCCCCACCCAAGCTGTGTCTCAGCAGGTCATCCAGGGCATGGAACCCCCTAAGGTCTGTCTGTGTCTGACATTAGCTAAGAATGGATGGGGCACCTGGCATCATGTCAGCCTTGGCCCCGCCTTGCCCTCTGCCTGGCATCTGAGTGCCCACCCCAGCCCTGACAGTGAGGTGGAGAAATGGGGCCAGGCAGAGGCCCAGGGCTGCCCCCAGCCAAGGACCCCTCTGACCCTGCCCCCGCAGGGGGAGCTCCCACTCGGTGCTGTCCACATCGACCTGGAGGAGGAGGAGAAGCAGGTCCACTCTTTCCTGATCAAAGGTGGGCCGAGCCCAGCCTGGGGGGGAGGTGGCACGAGCCTGGTGGCACCCCAGCTCTTTGGGGTGCCTTGTGGGATGCCCTGCCTGCCCGGTGCCTCACAGTGTCTGTTTGGCAGGCCGTCTCATCAATACCATCCGTGTGGTGTGTGCCAGCTATGAGGACTACAGCCTCTGGCTGCTCTGCCTGCAGGCTGTTTCCTGCAGGGATGGAGCCCCCCGACTGCTGGGCCCTGAGAGCTTCCTGGGGCCTCGGAGGCCCACCCAGGTGAGGGGTCAGCAGGGGGATGTCTGATCCCGGGCAATGGTGAAAACAGGAGGGCAGAAGTGTGATTCTGGGCACGGTGGGTGGGCAGTTGGGTGCTGCCCTCTGGCTCACCATCCCCTCTGGCTGCCCAGGTCATGAGTGGCGGCCGAGGCTCACTATCTTCAGACGGACGAACCAGCTGGGACTCGGGGTACCTGGCACCCCCATCCACCCATACCAGCCATTCCCTCCCTGGGTCCTCAATGGTGTTCACCACAGGCTGCCCTGCCCAGCCTGCACACGTGCGTACAGGGGACGGGGCTGAGCAGAAGGGGCAGGGGGCCCTGAGGGAAATTCATGTTGGGGAGCCTGGGTCCCCCATAATACCCCATGTCAAGAGGGACCCTAGTTCCTTAGGGAAGGGGGCTCAGACTGGAGAGAGCTCTGTGCAGCCTCGGGGGGCTATATGAGGGATGGCCTCGGGTCTTTGGTCCCCACAGGATCAGGCCAATCCCGGCTGTACCAGCAGCAGTGGGCCGAGAGCAGAGCTGAGACGGGGCGGCAGTCGTCGGTCACCTAGGAGCAAGGCTCGTTTTGAGGGGCCTGGCCTGGGCACCCCGCTGCACCTGGACCTGACCAAGGTGAGCCTGGTGCACTGACCCTTCTCTGGCCTGGCTCCCCCACTCCCTCCACCTCCTTGGCCCCTGTCTGTTGGGCCCAGGTGGTCATGGAACCTCCTCGAGGCCCCTTGCACAGGAAGGCCGGACTTGGGTTACTTCCAGCTCCAGGAAGTCCGTCTCTTCTGCTTTTTGCCTGCAGCTGAGCAGACTGGGCCTGGAGGGCGAACCCAACGCCCCAGACCACTCTCTGGAGATGCCCCACTCTCCACTCTATGCGGATCCCTACACACCACCTGCCACCTCCCACCACAGGATCACAGATGTCCGGGGCCTGGATGAGGTCAGTCCCCTGTGGGTTAAAGAAAGAGCTGAATGTGTTCACATCCTTATGTTTACAGTACGCCCGAAGCCTGAGGTCTGCTCAGGCCATGAAAGCTAAGGGGGTTTCTGGGTGGGGCACCCCTTAGCTCCGTGGAGGTCCTGGCCCAGGGCCTCAGGTCACCAACACTTCCCTGGCAGTTCCTCAGTGCAGCGCAGAGCCCACTTGGACCTGAGCCCTTGAGCCCGGTGCCCTCTGTCCCTGTGCCTATGCCTGTCTCTGGACTCTCCAGCCCGCGCTTGCTGTCCGAGAACGGAGCCCTGCAGCCCCAAGCCTCTAGGGGGTGCCGAGGCCCTGGCAAGGGCCAGGGGCCCCCAGACTCCCCTAGGCGTGTGAGTGGCAGCACCTTCCCTGGGCCAGGGGTCTGTCGGGGGAGACATAGCATGAGGCCTCTGGGACCTGCTGGGGCAGGGGAGGTGGAGACCGAGCACAGGGAGCCAGGACGGCGGGGATGGGGAGGGCTGGAGGGAGAGGTGTGGGGGGCTGGGGGCTGGCGGGCTCCCGGTGTGGTCTCCAAGCGCTGTCCCCAGGGCTCAGCTCTCACATCTGTGGTGCGATCCCCAGGTCCCCTCTGCCAGGGAAGTTCCGCCCAGCCCTCTGCCACCTCCCCCAGGTGAGTGAGGGCCCTGGCTTCTTTCTGGGGGGAGCTGTGGGTATTTCTCCCCTAAGCACATGCCCCTCTGTCCTCCCCACCAGACGGCCATCCCCCCAGGAGCTACGACACCCTCTGGGAAAAGGCTCCATCTCCCTCCCACCGGTGGAGGCCCCGCAGAGCCCCTGAGGCTGAGATGGGGCTCATCCAGTGGATCTGACAGCCCCCCAGGCTGGCTGCGTCCTGGGACCAGCTTCAACCCTGGAGAGGTGTTCCCAGCAGGGCCTGGGTCTTTCTTTGTAGGGCCACAGGCTCACTGGCCCCCACCCCTGTCCAATACCGGGTCAGGGCCTTGCCTCAGCAGGGTAGGGGGAGGCTCCAGAACCCTGAATTTCCCTGGGTTCTGGAGGGGCCTAGAGGAGGGCCCCATCCTGAGTGTGCTCTGCCAGTGTGGCTGGGCACCCAGAAGACCGAGCCTCAGCCCGCCTTCCAGGGAAGGAACAAAGGAGGGGACCTGACGGGGGCTTCGGCTGGGAGTGCAAGGATGGCACGGGTGCGAATGTCAGAGGGCTGCAAAAGTCATGACAGCGAGGGTCAGAGTATGTGAGGTCAGAGGGCCGGAGGGTTAGAGGTCAGCAAGATCTGAGCCTTCACACGCAGAGAGGAGGTACCTGGGGCATGTGAGGAGAGGGATGGACTGGTCAGGAGGAGCTGACAAGAGACTAAACAAAAACGAAAGAGAAGGAGATTTTATTGGTGCCGTGTCCACACGTTCTTGCCCGGCCACCAGGAGTCCCCCACCATCCTGGTATCCCTGCGCATCTGCCTGAGGCCGCATGCCCACCCAGCACCCAGCCTCGTGCACCCCCCCCCCACCTTCCTGCCCCTGCTTTAGCTCCTCTCAGCCCTGGGACAACCCCAGGTGTCCAGTCCCTTCACCTGATGCCAGGGCTCCCCAGAGGAGGGGCTCCAGGCTCAGCCCTACTGACTCCCACCCTGCAGGGACCACTGGGCCACCTTCCTGCAGGCCCCTGTAGGTACCTGCTCATTGTATCAGGTAGGCTCCAAGGAGGTCTTGCTACAGGCCTTTGGGGTTCAGGAGGTCAGAGAGGCCTCAGAGGTCCTCACTAGCCCAGCCCATTTGTAAATAGGGCAGAGTCCCTGGGATACCCCCACCCCAACCTCATCGCCCTTGCCACACGCCAGCCTCCAGCTACGGTCTCACTGCTGCTCTGACCCTCTAATTAGTGCACAGTCCTGCCCCTCACCCCCAACTAGAGAACCAGATAAAATATAGGATACCCAGTTAAATCTGATTTCAGATAAACCACAGATAATTTCTTAGCGTAAGTATGTCTCAAATGCTGTGTGTCTGAAATTCAAGTTTCACTGGATGCCCCATCTCTTTATTCGCTGATCTGGCCACCTTACTAACCAGCTGCCCGCTCGCCCTACTCATCCAGCCTCCCGAATGCCCCCCCTCCCAGGTGTGGAGCACAGGCCTGGCCTCAGGCCTTTGGGCGGAGTCTGTGGAGCCGGGACCAAGGACACTGGCTCCTTCCTACATCTGTAGAACACAGGGGTCAAAGGGCAAGGCCTGAGGACAGTGCCTCATTGTGAGCACCTGTGGCCATTTCCTTGTCCTGCGCCTTCCTGGTCCAAGCCTGGGTCCTAGGAGCTGTGGCTGTGGCTT